TTTCACTTTCATATTAGTTGATCCCCCCCCCAATGACTTGTACTTTAAATGAGCCATACAACATATTTTACTGGAGTTAGTTAAATTCCTCCCATATTTCGTATTAGTAAAAATTTTAAATTTAATTATAATTTTGTTTTTGGTATATTTGAGTATTTTTAGTCATTGACCTCTTTAGTATTTTTATATCAATCAGGCTCATCAAAAAAAATAAATTAAATGAATTTTCAATGTATTTAGATGATGTGGTTTTTATTAATATTTAAAACTGAAAGACATGTTTGTATATTTGAATTGTTATGCCCTCAATATACATTATTCAACAATATTGCGATATTTATTAATTATTATTTAGTTTTCACTGCTCCTAATCCAAATTTTCCCTTAAAAGAAATCATTTTACCGCTAAAACATTATGTTTGGATCGTTTTTTTAATGAGTATTTTTTAAATTTTTTGTATGGGAAATATTAAAAAAAAAAGTGTATTGAAAATGTAAAAAAGTATGATGGGATGGGACAATTATTAATAAATTAATTTTAAAAAATCAAAAGAAAGGGAAACAAAATTGTACTGAAAAAGTTCACTTATTTATTTTTGTTTTTGACGTTTAGTACGTAAAGAAGAATATTATGAATAACTAAAGTATACTGAAGATCTCGCAGAACACGACGCTCATCCTTTTACACGCGAAGAGAAAATCAATATCATGCAGTCAGTGATTTATAGAAGGAGAAAAAAGAAGAAGAAAAAACACTAATACTTATGGAAAATGAAATGGTCAAAGTCAAGTGAATTGCGGTTATATGTGTTAGAGAGTCCGCCACTAAAAATTCTTCTGTGGCTTAGGCAAGATGTTAATAGTATCTCATTCTCTCAACGTTAGTGTGTAACTCTTAGGTTGTATGTCTGTTTTATACTCCCTCTGTCCCATAATTATTGTTCAGTTTAGCTTTTCACTTTTAGTATAATTTAAACTAAAAACAAAAACTCAAACAGGACAATAATTATGGGACGGAGGGAGTAATAGTAATAATAAAAAGAAAAGGTTAAAGTTGAATAACAGGTTTATTTCGCATTTCAGAAAATTACAACATCTATAGTGATTTAAATATAATAACCTACTAATATAATACAAGCGAAGCACATTAATTAATTAAATAGCTGAAGATAATTCTTGGTCGCCATATTTCACTGTATCTATTACTCAAGCAGAAATAAAGTCAACTACATGTCTACTGATTTTTCCTTAAAAATAATGTCGCTTTTTGCAAAGGTCAACCCAGATATTGGGTGCTTTTTCGGCGCTCTTGGTTGCCAGGAAGAAGAAATTAAAATGGGTTTTAATACACCAGTGAATAGAAATTAAATAACATAATTATAGTTTTGGGTGTCGATTTTATTTGTAATAATCTCAATTTTCTATAATATAAAAATTTGGTTTAAGCATGAACATAGGTGGAAGATAAGAATAGGATAGACCATCGCATTATGTAAGTGTGAAATACTATGAAATAATATGGTTCTAGTATTCGTTAAACCCAAAAATTAATATATGAACCCTGAAATGGTAAAAGATAATTAGACGTGTTAAAATGTTGCTATAAAAGTGTTAGTACATAATGTTCATTATGATAAAAATGTTTAAAAGTCATATTAAAATGTGCTAATTGATTTTATGGAATGTATGACATAAAAATACAAGAAACTATGCTCGTCGTACAAATATTTTCTATTCTAATTATCACTCACAGGATATGTAGGGTTTGTACCCAATTTTAGTTGGCAGTTGAAAGATCCTGACAGATATGTGTTTAATTTTTTTTAAAAAATTATTTTATGTCCAAAAACTTTAGTAAAAAGTCAGCGAATGATCAGAGAAATCAGAGAGAAAAAGAATAGATGTTTGAGAATCAACATTGGCCACTGTGCTACCAAAACGCGCTTATTCCCCCATCTCTACAGATAAAAGTGAAAAGATACGTGCGAGCTGTTTCTTCCTGAGAAAAATGAAAGAAATATAAATAAATAAAAATGTTCGTGTAACGAATGAGGAGTTGATTTAGTGGTAAAACCACTATTACTTCAAAAGGAGGTCATGAATTCAATTCAAGAAGTGAGAGTTGGCTCTCATCTTGCCTATTGGTATCTCTAGGAGCTTGTTATGACTAACTCACTAATGAATTCCCGATTTCGCACCGAACTTGTCACCCCAAACTTGCCTAAAGTGGTTTACCTCCCATTGTGGTTTGTAAACTATTGCAGTGGGCGTGGGTTTACCCATCTCTGGTGAGGCTCCTGACGTTGCCAAAGAAAAAATGCTTATGTAATTATTCTATCCCCTTTTAAAATAAACATAGTTTTAAAAAATCAAGGTTTTTTTTATCTCATTATTATTCATATTGTTGCCCTAACAATGGAAATAATAATTATAATTAAGGTGACACTTCATTAAAACCAAACAACAATAGAATTTAAGTATTAGGATGGAATCAATTGTTCTTTTAAAGTATTTAATTAGGTATTCAATTATTCATTAATCCTGAAATGACATGTATTTTCAAAAAGAAAAAATGTATTTTGAAAAAATAGTGATCCTACAACGACATGTACTTTGAAATGACAGTATTTCTTTCACAATGTGAAAAATTGTTTGTGAAATCATATCAAACTTGTAAACGATGTGTAACTAACTGCTCATTAAGGGCTTAACACTTGAAACAAAAGGATATCCATTTTCTGTTTGGATGGTTTTTGGCTTCCCTTTCTTTTTTTTTTTTTAGAATTTAAGATTAATAAATGTCTCATTCCAATATTTTTTTAAACATTTCTGATATATTTTTTTTATATTTTCAATAAAAAAAATACTCTGAAACATAATCCAAGCTAAAAAGACCTAAGGAACTATGTTATTGTTTGGGCAAAACGCAACAACCCTTGTGTTTGTCATCGGCAAACAAACCGTCGGGGTTAGAAAAAATTGCAAAAACCAACAATATGTAGTGATTAATATAATACAACATGTAAAAACTTCAAAATTATTCGTTAAAGTTTTAGGTTTGTTAAATTTACTAGACGTAACAGAATCATTACTCATTCACACAACTTTCGTTCTAACATGCACTTACTGAAAGGCCAACTAAACTCCTTATACTTTCCGAGTTCACATTTTTATTGTTATTTTTCCTTTGGTATACAAGAGTATCACATTTAGATCTTAAATAATAAACAAGATTCAATCTATACAAGTTCCTCATTTTGCTGAATTCAATGTTAATACTCCCTCCATTTCAAAATGTAGGTCGTTTTAGGTTTGGAAAAATATTTCAAAATATAGGTCGTCTTATGATTTCAAGGTAAATTAAAGATTAATTTCTCAACTTTGCCCCTCAATAAATGATGCTAACCACTTTTCATCTAGTTTTGGTTATAGTTCTAAATCAATTAATGAAGGGCAAAATAAACATTCAACATACAAATTAATCATTAAATAATTGTCTCCCTAGTTAACACGTAGAGGCTAAAAAGACTTACGATTTGAAATGAAGGGAGTACAATACTAATTCTGTCCCCAAAAAATAATCTATATTGAGTTTTTAAATTTGTACTGATTTTTTAATATAAAAAATCTCAAAGCTCAATATAACTATTTTCTTGAGACAGATATACTCCCTCCGTCCCATAATTATTGTCCACTTTGCCCAAAAAATTTTGTCCCAAAATTATTGTCCAATTTGACTTTTTATGGATCAAGTTACACATTTGTCCTTAGTAAAAAACATTAGCCATAAAATCTTAGTGGTTAAACAATTACTTATGTAGGGGTATATCCAGTTATTTAAGGTAAAATATAGTTAAGTTTGACAAACAATAAAATTTTTCATTTTAGTAAAATTGGACAATAATTATGGGACGGAGGGAGTAGTATTTAATTTTGATGATTCAAAATCATAGTAACATATTGACGTCTCTGGCATTCTTATTTTGGAAGTCAAAACACAGAGACTAACTCCCACTGGACACCATTTTTCAGAACACTTGCTGCATAGTGAGGCACCGAAATTTAACAAAATGGAGGTCTCTTCAGTGAGGAATAGAACATCTAAAAAAAATTATTACTTTTTCTAGACTATTTTAATAGTCCATTTAGTTATACTAATTCAACAAAATGAAGACAGAGTAAATTCTATCCACTAGTACTAGGGAAAAGATTAGGTCTTGGCTATGGAGGCTGTTGTCAAGTGAAACATGTCTAGAGTTACAAGACTAAAAGGAATTTTTATTTTTTATTTTTTATTTTTAATTTCGCCAAAAGTAATGCAAACAGGCAAACAGCTCACTGAATAATTCTAAGATATGAATGATGAAAGATAATTTGGAAAGACAATTTATGTCCGGATACTGGAAAAACAAGTAGTACATGGAAGATACAGATCTATTTATAGCCAAGCCAGCAATCAAAATGCTGATAAATGGTGGGCTTTGTCCTTATCCAAGGGAGATTTCCTCAGGTGTCAACATTATAGAGGGAAAACCAAGGCCATTTTTCTGAAAGTGATACCATATAGGCATATACAAGTAAATGCTCAAGGATACTCTTCCGAACTGATAATTTACCTATGACCAATCAAAATAACACAACTCTTCCACACATAATCTAACATGGCCAAAAATCTTCCAGTGCCAACTCCTCCTAAAGACCGAGAGCTTTATTTACTTGATAAGCATCCCTCCCAAACCACCACCATTGTCATTCTCCTATGACTAAAAACTTCCATCTTAAATGTGACAAATTGAGAATTGATGGTCAAAGTAGATTTCTTACCATAAGCCAAAAAATTCGTTTTGATGAATACTGATAGACTGGAATTCGTAGATTTTTATAGAAACAGCAATCTCAAAAGCATCAAAAGAATTGAATCCTAAACAAAACCTAGCATATATAATCTACAAAGTCTCTCAGGATTTTTAGAAAAAGCCTTTCCATAGGCTCCAACTACATTACCTTGTCTTCTTCCCTCCTCTTTTGCCGTTTTTATTGAATTTCTTTCCTTTGGATTTGCTCTTTATATACGAGGTTCTACTTGCTTTTTTCTGCCTTTCCTTCCTAACTTGTTCAATATCCTTAATTTCTGAACGTACATGAGCATTTGGAACACTGTGATGCTTATGCCTTCCTCTGAGCCATCTATCGTTTCCTCCACCATTTTGCTGCCCTGTAAAACGAGCACATTCAAATTCAATCTTAAAGCGTTTCATGAGCTTTAATACTTCCAGTCCAGATCAAATATGCTATTAAAGGCATCAGAAAACATTTGCAAGGAAAACAAGTTTGGACACAAATTGATCAAGTGGATACAGATGAAAAAATATTGAATCAGGATAAGCTTCATCAACCAAAAGGTTGACGGCAAAGGTTGCAGAACATTACTCAATTCAAGTTTTGATTAAAAGTTTGCCCGAATTTGGCAGCCGGTAACACAAGTTTACTCTGAAGAACCCACTAACAGAATTCGGAAGTTAGCCCTCCAGAAAATCCTTACTCAACCCCCCTCCTTGAAATAAAATGAAAAGGACATTTGCGAGCAAACAACTAAGAACTACATGACCAAAGTAGCAAAATTCTCATAGGCATATGATAGATATCATGATCCAGACAACGATTACCTGACGCGATTCTGGATTCCTGAGCAGTACCATCATAACTAGATCCCTTGAGAGATACTTTATTATGCGTCTTATTTTTCCATCTCTCATATGAATTAGTTTTCCTAGTTTTAATTTTTGCACCTCCTTCTGTCTTAACCTACACAAAAGAACAGAGAATCAGCAAACTTGAAGACAAGTGCAAATTAGAAAACAAAAAGCAAAAAGTGAAAGCAACATTATCTTGTAACAGATATCACATCCCCTAAATTTTTAGAAGACATTCGACTGTTAAAGACTTTGGCAGCTCGTAAGAAACAAAACAGCATCAACTCAGCAGCGACCAAATGAGGTGAAAAGAAGTCCCATATTTCTACCAGTTTTATAAGTCAGAAGTTGATATGCAACTGATTATTCATCCATAGAGATTTAAAAGATAGAAGAACAAGCATTTGAGCGGAGTAAACAGACTTCAAGCCAGCCTTTGACAAACAAGCACAATTCTATTCGCTATTTACAATTCAACTCAGTTCTGGAGTAAGAATTTTCAAAAAAGTTGGAAACTTGTAATGGAAATCAATCTATAATCACATGTGACGTAGATAAAAAATTGAGTTAAAAATGTTCTTCATGCATAAACGGGGTGATTCATACAAGTGCTGTAGCCCGGGGTGCGGTGGGGTGGGGTTTGTTGGGGGAGAGCCCTCAACATGTCCAGCTCATCTAAATTAATATAGGGAAAAAAAAAACCAAATGAACATGGTAAAACAAAGATTACCTTTCCACTGGCCGTCACACGTTCTCCATTGTTCAACTTGATATACTTCTTACTCCTCTGTAACCAAACAATTAAATCCAAAATTACAAGCAGAAATTAGGGGAAGAGCATAAATCCTACTAGAAACCATTTAGATTGTTCAAAGCACCTTATCCCAATGGTACGAAGATTTCTGCTTTATCAACCCCTCTTTGTCATCAGCAACCAGATCCATAACAGCAGCTTCCAACCTAAAAGACCACAAAACTCAGAATTCAACCAAGAAGATAAAATACATCAAAATCAAAGACGGGATTTCCAATCAAGATATCATCTTTTTAAAATGGATTTCTTCGCTTATGCTTCTGCCAGAGGTCAGAAGCGATGCTATTATGGAGAGGAAGCATTTCTTTTTCTTTATGAATTTGTCACTCCCTAACAAATAACCTTCTCATTCATACCAACATGGAACTACATTTACTCTGTGCAAGTGCAATATCAGGTAGTCAAGGTAATTTCAGCAAGCACTTTTTTTTGGAAGCCATTTCAGAAAATCTCTAGCGAAGTCAGCTAATAGTTACTTGAAGAGAGTTGGCAAATAAGAGGAAACTGTCTCAGTTGGCCATATTATATTATTATGTACCAACTAACTGGGAATTCCTTTCACAAATAGCAAGGTGAAAATCATGCGCATCATCTTTATATTGGGAAGTGGAAAATTGATACTAAGTTATGGAGGAACTAAAAAGAAATTCACAAGTGAAGTTTCTGACCTGTTTGGTTCAAAGCCCTGGTTAGCTCTTACCGAGAGTCCTGCCTCAAAATGCTGCAATTTGATACAAATAGAAGTTTTGCATCACCGAAGAGACGCAACATAGAAGCAACAATATCCACGCAATTGACAATTAAAAAATGAAGAAACTCATGCATCTCAAATTAGCAACAAATTTAACACTGCAACAAAAATAAAAGCTACATAATACCTGATTTGTTGGTACTGGGCTAATGAAGCACTCCTCATCAATGTAGCTATTCGCCTTCCTTTTTGAGCCAAAAACTGCCAAATATGAATCAGAGAGATAAAGCATGAATGTAAGAGTAAACTCAAGTTACTGAAATGTCTTTTCAGAATAAAAAACTTTAACAGATACATTTCAAAAATCTCATCATTGTATAATTTGGCTTTTCAATGTAACATGCAAAATAATTTATCACTACATCTACAGTGACACAGATAAGAGTGGTAACACGGACAGGTTCACAGAAGTTAACAACTTTTGTTAGCTAAAAGGTTTTCTAACTTTGATTTAGAAATACAAAAATCATATGTACATGCTAAAAAATGTAGCCAGAGACTAACGAATTCACATCTATCGAAGGTGTAGAACAGAATTTTCTTCAGAGAAAACAATGGTCCAATTCATTGGCATCTTTACTAACACATCAACATTGTCCAGTCATACTCCGTTTATTAATTTATACTGAAGGACTTTAACCCAATTACGGGCTATAAGAATAAAAAAGATCACTTCAGCTTTGGATCACTCAAGTGCTTGAAATACAGCCCAAACAATGTTCCTCACAAAGGAACAAACCAGTTCTATGTCGGAATTGTGGATGACAAGTTGAAGAAAGCTTCCCAAGACAATAGAAAGCAACCTTTGAATAAATTCAAACACAGTGGGACAAAACAATGAAAAAGGCTAATCACAGCACATGTATAGTATGGGTTGCATCTGTAACTGCCAGTAAATCAATTCACATAATAAAAAGTGCGGTATCAGGAAAGGAAAATTAGAGAATGATCAAAACAAACCTTGCTTCTCCTTGACAGCAGAAGAATTATTTTCTATTACAGCTTCCTGAGACATGGAAAAGGGATCAATCATATTCAAGAGAAAGTCTACAGTAGGAAAAATGAAGCTTCAAAAATAAAAACGGCTTATAAAAGAATATGAGTGCGGAAAAAAAGCTGCTTGCACAACAGAAAACAAGTCTAAATACTTTCAGAGGTTAAGATGCATCATTAATACACCAAGTGATTTGTTCCAAAGTCAGTTTCAGACAAAATATCAATTTCAAGAATTTGGCTAACCAATTGTATCCTGCCAGACATTTCGTGAGAAGGTATACCTCTGTGATATGATCATTTGAATGTTGCTTGTGAAATTTGCTAATGACATTCTCATGAATAGCTCTTTTCTTTTTCATCACATCAACCCATTGCCTAGTGGATCCCTGCAGCAGATGCATTTCAGATAAAGAAAATATTAGTTTCCTGTGAATGTATATTTCAGGTGGTGGGTATCAACATGGAAGAGCTTGATCATGTATATCACTACTAACAGACAAAATCCAGAAAATAGTTGAATGAAGTGTAGAAAAGAGAACAATAAAAGCAACATCCAATATGAGGAAGGGCAAACCTCATTCCATAAAAGATTCCCAATGATATCATATCATCAGAGACTGCTGTGCATGCATTTAAACAAATGATAATAACAATAAATAAAATTCAAGCCACAAGCCCATGCAAACCATCAGGCATACCTTCAAATATGATCCGATGCTCAGTGCACAAAAGTAGATATGCTAATTTTTTTTTTTTGGTTAGCAGTTGATACGATAATTTCAAATATATAAAATAGATCAAAATTTAGACATTCAAAAAAATACTAAACAAAAAGGTACTTTACTAATTAATCAAAACTAATTTGAGCTTGATCACGTATATTACTACTAACTGACGAAATCCAGAAAACTGATGAATGAAGTATAGAAAAGAGAACAATAAAACTGACATCCACCATGAGGAAGGGCAAACCTCATTCCATAAAAGATTCCCAATGATATCATCATAGATCGCTGTAGCATGCATTTAAATAAATGATAATAACAATAAATAAAATTCAAGCCACAATGCCATGCAAGCCGCTTATGCTGAGATCAAGGTCAATGCAAAGCATCAGGCATGCCTTCAAATATGATCTGATGCCGAGTGCACAAAAGTAGATGCGCTAATTTTTTGGTTAACAGTAGATATTTCAAATATATTAAAAGAGATCAAAATTTCGACATTCAAGAAAATACTAAACAAAAAAATGCGTTACCAATTAATCAAAACTAAGTAGAATGTATACAAAAGAGACGAGGAACAAGTACATATAAGAGGAGAAGATTACTTGATGTTTTGATTTAGCAGCTTCACCTTCAGCCTCCAAAATAGTTTGCTTGGGTCTAGCAAAAATCATTCGCTGAACATTATAAGTTGGTACCATCATCTACATGCATTAGTAAGAATAGAGATTGGTCTACTACCTGAATCCCTTGAGGCGTTCAGAGAATGCGAGAGCAGTTAATTCATTGCCACCCAAAAGGTTTCTGAACATTGGGTGCAGCCCTTCCCGTGGTAGGTCTTTCACTCTTTTGATGGACTCCCTAGAAGGCTTTGCTTTTGTTTTAGAATACAAAAGAAATGCCTTGGTACAAGGTCTAAGTAAAGCAGATAGTTCAGCTGATGAGTCGATAATTTCCCTCACTCTGTCAGACAAAAGATCTATCACTGTTTGGGGCAAACGTCCATACACAGTTTCTCCATTTGCAATTGCTTGATCAATTTTGGACATAACTCCATCCATGTCTTGTAAAACCACTTCTTCAGTAGGAGCAGCTCTGATTGGCTTAGACAGGAACAAATGAAGATCTAATAGGTAAGCCATATCTTCAGTAGTCAACAAAGAAAATGCAGCTCCTGTTCGACCTGCCCGGGCAGCTCGTCCTACTCGATGAACAAAGAGTTTAGGTTTAGCTGGGAAGTCGAAGTTTATAACATTGTCAAGCAATGGAATGTCAATCCCCCTAGCTGCAACATCAGTAACTATCAATATCATAGTTTTTCTAGCTCTAAACCTTGATACATGAATCTTTCGAGCATCTTGATCCATGTCACCATAACATACTGAAACCTCAATACCCTCTTCCTTGCACAAGGCATTTAGGAAGTCGACATGATACTTTGTGGAAACAAAAACCAAAGTCTGCTGATTAGATGTAATATGTTCCCTTATCAGGTACAATAATGCAGCATACTTCTCTTCCTGTCTTAAGGTTAAAAAGGTCAGCTTCAAGTCAGGACTAATTTTGGTTTCTAAGTCAAGACGTACAAGCTGGGGGTCCCGCAAACCAGCCTTTGCAAACTCTGCAAGGGCACTTGGTAATGTCGCACTAAAGAGTAAAGTTTGGCGGTTTTCATTAAGCTGCGACAGAATTTTATACAACTGCTCTGAAAAACCTTTCTCAAAGAGTTGGTCGGCTTCATCGAAGACAACGTACTCCACAGTGCGCAATGACAGATCATCAACCTCAGACAGATGATGCATAAGCCTACCAGGAGTTGCTATTATTACATCAGGATTTTGAGCCAGCTCCTCAAACTGATTTTCCATACTATCACCACCAACAAGTAAACTGATGCGGAGATCTACATAAGTAAAATTTAGACACCAATAAGTAAATGCAAAAAATACAAGCAGTTAAATGTTAATTGACACAGGGATTTCGGAAACAAAATTGAACAATAGAAAAAGCAAATATCAAAATTTCTCCTTGCAGTAAAAGGAAAAATAGGGCTACTTAACCATGTATCTGTCGCATTTTCAACCAAATTAAAAACTCATGCACTGAAAGTATACAATCACAATTAATAGCATGTAAAACACAAAGCAACCCCATCAATCTGCAACTTTATCCATTTGCCCACTGTACAACAATAATCCAAACAAACGAGACAGATATGCAAGGAAAATCATGCTTGTCAGTAAGAACTGCATGACCTTCCGGTCAGTGATTCATACACTGCTTGGACTCAAGAAAGTGAATTGCAAAAGATCTCCTGAATTTTTTCTCGTGTACAGAATAGAGGAAATGTGAAATACAAATGTAGGGGATTCAGGAAAGATGAAAAGGAAAAATTTCAAAACAAATACAGCTGGACATCAAGGACAACATCATATCCCTTTAACGTTTTCATAATTATTAAATATGCATACAACCTTCAGTCAGCAAGGGAGACAAATGCATTGGCTTGTCGGCTGTACCACCATACATTTTACAAATAACGAACCTTTGTGGCACGCACAGTAAATTTAATAGTCAGTTTGACAACAAAAAACCACAACTACACAAAATGCAATCCTCTGGCAGGAAGTTCATTTACCAAAAATTGAAGTGAGTTTCCCTTATTATCACCCCACATAAAATTCCCATCACATAACAAATTATGCATAGGACTATGACTACATACACAGGCACAACCATTTCAATCCCAGACCTTTCTTCTCTTAAACAAATTGTCTTCCTCTAATAAAACTACTAGTAGAGTAGAGAAAAAACGGATGAAAGACATTAAAAAGAACCAATACAAGCATATTAGGAGCTTGCTCATCATATCATTTCTTTCCATTCTGATGAACTGACTTAATGTGGTGAAATGGCCTAAAAACTGGAGTTCAACGGCTATTTATGCTATACGGAAAAATCAACAAGCAGAATAAAACCAAAGAAGAAGGTACATGACCGCAGTACAAAAATTTCCAACAGTAATGTAATATTTTGCATCATCAATTAAGCCAAAGTATACATATTTGGTAAAAACATCCACAGCACAATTACCTTTTTCACACCTGAGCTTCCCGTTGATGATTAGTAACCAGAGAAAGTGGTCCCAAATATAAATCAATTGAATCATTTTGGCTTTCAACAAGTTCAACGAGCAACAGTAAATCTACAGAATGCAATTTACTTGTTGGATGATTTTAGCTGCCAACAAGTTCTACAAATAACAGCAAACATACAGAAGGACACATAGAACCAAAAAGTTTCTAATATGAGTTCCGATAAAGCTACAAGAGGAATTCAAATGCTAACTTTACATAGTTCATTTTTTGCTAACCAAGTACAGAAGTATAACAACCAACCAGAAACTAAAGTTCAACTAAACAATTCCAGTTTTTACCCCGACAAATTCCTGAATTAGGAAAACGAAAAGAAGAGATGGTACACTCGCATCTGCATGATTTCTCAAAAATACATATTTCCTCCATCATAAACTAGCTAAAAAAAATAAAAAAAACACTCAAAGTAAATTGATGCAATAGAATCACCTGTGAAGCGGCCAAGTTCTTTGGTGAATTTCAGGGTTTGAATAGCCAACTCCCGGGAGCAAGAAAGAATTAGAGCACGAACACCAGCTTGGGGTACATGTTGCTTAAGTTTCTCCAGCATGGGGATTAAAAATGCTGCAGTTTTACCGGAGCCGGTTCGAGCCATGGCGACCACATCGTTCCCGGCAAGGATGAGAGGCATACATTTACGCTGAATCGGCGTCGGGACCTGGTAACCTTTCCGTTTAATTCCTCGATAAACATCTGGACTAAGCTTCAACGACTCGAAGCCACCCGATTTCGATTTCTTCAGTTGCTTCTCTTTACGTTTCAGCTCACCTTTTGAACTCGCCAGTATTGTTTTCTGTTCCCCCATGGCTGCTCAATAGCGCCACCTAGTGCAATTCCAATAGTACACCGTCGTAATCTCACAATTCTAATAGGGGTGTGGTGGTGGTGGCGGCGGCGGAGGATCGGCGGTGCCGCGACAGAGGAGGGATTTTGTACAGAGCTCAGGGTTTTTACCAAGGTTTTAGGGGCTGCGCAGAGGCGAACGACGTCGTAATATTGCGAAAATAATTCGTTATATAATAAATGGGAAAGAAAATAGGAAACGGCACCGGGTCTCGAACTAGGGTTGTCTCCTTAAAAATTGAAAATTCTTCTTCTACTCCTAGACATGTAAAAAAAAATTAAAAAAAGAATTGCAGAAATTGGTCGCCGCCCGCGTTTACACAGATTCGAACCCTGGTCTTCTTCTTCCTGCAACCAACTGTTACTTCTTCTCTTTGTTCTTCTTTCCCTCCAAATTTACTCACACTGAAACTGAAGAAAAATATCTCGGAGAAAAATTCCGGCAACGATGCCGGAGAGGTTCGAGGCCTGCCCTCTGGTGGGAACACCACAGTACCCCAATGCCGTCGCCTGGTCCGATGAGAACTTAGTTGCCGCTGCCTCGGGTCAAATTGTCACGATTATGGTACTGTCTCTTCCCAAATGGATTTTTCTTCCTCAGTTTTTCAGTTCAATTCATTTCATTAGATTTCTGGTCACTGAAAGGATGCCAATCAGAATCAGTCTGTTAATCGATTGTATGTCATGCCCTTTTGATGTAATTTGTTAGAGACCGGCAGCTTCTTTTGGCTCACCTCGGGGAACTGTTACATTGTCTCCCACCAAGCCTTTTCCAATTGGAGTGATCAATCGAGAAGGTATTTTCTTTTTGCTTTTCTTCCTTTTAAGTCAGGGTTGATTTCTGCTCTTCCCTTGTATGCTTTTTATGTGATTATTTTGTTTTGAATCCAACCGAACATGATAATGCAAGTTTGTTTATTCTTCTACTTTGTACTTGTTCAACCTTAATGGTTGCTTAGCTTCGCTGTTCTTGTCCAAATCCTTTTTTCCCCCACTTAAATGTGGACATGCTGCATGGTTTTTCTACAGGCTTTTGTATTTTCAAAGGATCAACTCTTTCCTTTCTGCTGTTTCTCTTGCCCACAGTTTTACAAGTGACTTCCTGTTTTTGTAGTGATCTTTAATTTTGTCGATCAATACACATGCTGAATTCACTGACGTTTTGGTTACCGTTGGTTCTTTTCTCCTGTCTTTTTGCAGATTTACGTTCTCCATGCTTATTACCCATTTGTTTGTCTCGCGATGTTAAACCTTGTGTTCGGTCAATTTCCTGGTCTCCCATTGGATTTGCTCCTAATGCAGGGTACGTATGCATTTCTGTAATTGTGATAGTTTTACGGTAATATGCTACACATATCAGAATTTGATGTAATTGGAACAGTTGTTTGCTTGCTGTTTGCACCACTGAAGGACGTGTTACAATCTACCGAATGCCTTACTGCGAGTATGCTAAAGAGTGGATACAGGTATGCAATCATTAAGGTCCACTTTAGATTGAAGGTGTACTTTGCGGAGTAAATTATTCTTCTTATGATTGAGGCATTACTTAAGTAATAGCTGGCATACGTTAACAGTGGTTGTATGTGAAATCGATGTAAGCTGTTGAGATATCGTTGGTTGTAGGAAAAGAATACAAAGAAGGTACAAATGTTTCTGTTTCCAATGCTCCATGTAAGTTTGAGGCATTACCAAAGTAACTAGTAAGTTGTAAAAGTACTTGTATATGAATCTCATATAAATAGATATGAGCATCCATACTCTCAAAATGGATAGGTTTTCTTACTTTCCAAAACATTTTACATTTTCTCCCTCTGATGACTTGAAAGAAGAAGATTCATGATGTGTTAAGTGGTACAAATAGCTGTACATAAACCTTATATCAGTATATGAGAGTCCAAAATCTCAAAATCGATATTTTTACTTACAAAAATAGAAAATAAATCTACTACCCCCAAAGAAGAAGAAGAGTCATCTAGTGTTTTCTCTTTTTACAGCTCAATGGTTTTGTTCGTTGATGTTAGTAACATTTCATGAATTAGCACCCCTGTCCTGCATACATTTCATATGCCTTATCACTAGTTAATAGCAAATAATGCTCCAACATAATGAGAACATATCCTGTCCATTAATCCCAACCACTTCTTTTCCTTATAGGTGATGGATATTTCTGACATGCTTTATGCTTATCTTGCAAGTGTCAATTTTTTTGAGGAACCTACGTGTTTATCAAGGATGGCAGAGGTATTTTTTTATTTTGGTTTTTTTTTTTTTTGGGGGGGAGGAGGGGTTGCGTTCTATCCATATATCAGTAGATTGAGTTGATATCTTGCCTCAATTCCATTTGGACTTGGCACATTGAGTTGAACTACCCCTTCCTGAGTTAACACTTTGACATTTTTTTTTTTTCTCAAGTCTTAAAGTTCCCCATTATGCTCTACTTATTCTCAAGGTTTACAGCTCCAGGATTCCACTAAAAGAACTCAGGGAGATCAACGTTGTGCTGAAATTCAGCCAACAACTGACTCAGAACAGAGAAAAAGACCAAGAAGACAGAAGAGATCAACTTTAGTGGTCACTTTTTGTTGACTTTTCTCATTTCCATCATGATAGTTTCTGGCAATTGTTTTTACTCAATTGCTTGATTTACAACATATAAAGTAGAATCTTTTTCATTTTTTATTGTACTCAGGTAGTTGAGATTGAAACCCAGAAGCTAAACGAGGATGAAGAACCTGGCATGTTTTCTGTCCCTGATTCTGGGAAAAAGGAACCTAAACAATCACAAGAAACCTGTAGTCCAGACCTGATAAGTGCTGAGCAATATGCATCTCGCAGTAGATTGTTGTCATCACTTATTGTAGCCTGGTCCCCCATTTTGCCGTTGACTTCTGGGATTGAAGAAACTAACAGCATACAGAAAAGCTCTTTGCTCGCAGTTGGAGGGAAATCTGGCAGAATATCGTTCTGGAGATTTGATCAACCAACTAGCTATTCTATCTTGAATGGTGGGGAAGCTTTTTCTGCTTTGCTTATTGGACTTCTTCAGGCACACGATTTTGATATAACTGCTCTTAGTTGGGAAATATTTGTTGATGGTGATGCTGCCAACCCCTTGCTTCTCCTAGCTTCCGGGAGTACTAATGGCTGGTCAGTATACAAGCAGATGTTTTAGGCCTTTATTGGATAAATTAATATATCCTGATATAACAGTGGCTCTATCTTAGCTTGGAGTAACATTTTCTGAGTTCATTAGCATTAGCAAAGATGTTTGATTTATTTCATTTCAAAGATGCATTTTACTCATATTGGAGTTAAAATTAGAAAATTAGATGACGTCTTGTTTAAACTTATATTTTTAAACAGATGATAGAACCAAACCTTTTCAGAATTTCTTGGTTTCCAAGATTAACGTACTTTCATCTGATAATATGATATTTTTCTCTTCAGGCCCTTCTTTAGAATCTTTATTACTATCATTGTGGAAATATTACATTGATGAAGAAAGGAACTGATGAAATTCAACTTTCTTTTGTAATATTAGGAAGCATTCATGTATTGGCTACCACCAATTTAACATTTGCAATGTATTTAATTTATTGGATTCTGTTCTCTATAGTGTTAAAATCTGGAAGGCATATGCCAGTGAAGTGATGAAGTCATCAGAAGCATACTTCTTACCGTTGTATCTGCTGAACGAGGTTTTATTTCTTTCATAGATCATATTTTTACTGCTTTGTTTTCACTGAAGAGGTTTTCAAGTTCTTATTTCCCTTTTTCCCTGTGGTTTCATGTTTCAAATAGGTGTTAACTATGGACTGTGGCATAGTTTCTGTGTTATCTCTTTTTTTGCCTCGGGAATCTCCTGGAGAAATGGTCCTTGCCATTGGCCAAGGATCTGGATTATTGGAAATCTGGATTGGGAATTTAAATTCTAGTAAATTTGAGAGAGAAGGCTATTCTGAGGCTCATAATCATATTGTAAGTCATACTAATGATCACTCTTTTTCATGAAACACTTTGGAAACACTTTGCTAACCTTTTCTTAAAACTGTTCCAGCTTATGGGATTAGCTTGGGGATTTGGTGGAAAATGTTTGTACAGCTGCAGTCAGGTGTGTAGAACGTACGGAATTGATATTGAACATGTTGCCATTAAATCAATATTTTATCTTCTTTTAGCTTTGAGGAATTGTGAAATTGTGCTTTATAAAGAATTCCTATAACAGCATCTTAATGTTATCTGTTCCAATTTCATCTACGAGTTCTCTTTTTTTATTCTGTGAATTTGTTGAACATCTTCTCATATTAATGCCATCATATCTATAATGTTTTTGTGTCTGCATTTGAAACATTCAAGATGGTTCTGTTCTGCTGGCAGAAAGTAGTACTCTAGTCTAGATAAAAAGTAGGAAGCTTATGGAAAAAAGTAATTTGAAGTTAAAAGGGTACACTGCTGTGTCATTGAATATATTCGTTGTTCATGCTTCTGAACATGAAAAATTTCATTTAGACTGTTCAAGTTGAAATTTGAATCTTCTCTGGGGATATCACACTGATTTTGATTAATATGCTCTCCCGTTATAATTTATCCAATTTTTTGCTTCTTTGTCTTTCTGAAGAAATGAGCTTTTTTGCAAACCTAGCAGTATAAATATATTTCATGAACCCTGTGTGCTTAATGCTTATTAGACTTTGCTTTATTGCATACTTTTGCTGGTGATAATTCCTCACCAGACAAAATATTTCCAAGACATTAAATAACTTCAGTTTTGTGGTTCTTTTATGAATGTCAGGACGGCAGTATCCGGAGCTGGATTTTAAGTGAAAGTATCTTACGTGAAGTACCTTTTCCATCAAATATTCCTGGAATCAGAAGCCCGTCTAATTTATCGGTGGCTATTTCTGTTATTTTTCTTTCTTTTTTTCTTTTTTGTGTGCTTTCTCAGTTCATGATTGATGAATGGAAAGTTCACATTGTTGCAGGTTCCATGTGATTATGATTTATGCTTTGGTCTGGCAATATCCCCTGGAAATTTAACATTAGCTGTGGTAATCTTTGTTGTTCCTCCAGTCATTTTCCCTCTTCCACTTGTCTCTTTCCTTGTTCCTTGTTTCTTGTTTTTTCTTTTATATTAATCTAATACAACCATGGTTGTTGTACTTTATTGCGTGTGGCTCTTGGTTCCTAGTGTCTTCTGTTGAGGATTTTGAAAAATAAGATAACTGCTTTCCTTGTTCAATGTGTCAAACGATTGCCTCTTTTACTATGTCCTCCATTTTTTTCAGAATCTTGGGCTTTTCCATTATTGATCAATTTTTCCTTCTCAGGTTGTATCTTCAACTGCTTCTTTTAAAGGATTTGTTATTTTATTTTATTTTTTTGTCTTTTAAAAATAAGGGTTTGTTATTTTTTTAAATTATTATTTTTTTTGGTTGATGCTCATATATGTAAGTCTTTTGTATTCGTTCTTGCAGGCCCACAGTTTTGACAGTGGTCTGTTAAACCCGATGTATGAGGCGAGGTCTGTTTTCATAATGATCCTTTACTTTGTAGCTAGTTTCTGCTTTTTACAGTTGATGGGTCTGCATCTTGCAAGAGGAATATTTTCCAAGTGAGATGCATGTTCCTGTTTCCATGTTTACCTGCATTTTACTTTCAAACTCTCACTCATTCACTGTTATGTTTTATAGTTCAAGTTTGAGTTTCATTCCAGTATTTTTGGGCAGCAATTTTTCTTTTTATTATTTTGAGATGTTGATAGAAGTGAACACATTATTTAGGATCCAAAAAGCTGTGGTGGAATATCTTTGGATTGGAGGGCAGCAGCTGGACCTTACTGTCTGTATTGACGAGAGAATTGAAGACGAAGCAATTCCCGATTTTCCTACGAGAGAGCTAATAAGTTGGGAACAAAATTTGTTGTGGTCCTTTAAACAGCATGAACATGGGAATAAGCCATTAGTTATTTGGGACATTGTCGCTTCAATGTTGGCCCTAAGACAGTGTGTTCCCAACCATGTGGTCAATATAATAATTCAATGGCTGAGATCTTTGTTTGGATCCATGTTTGAAGTTTCCCCTGCATTCTTATTTGAGACCTCTAAGCGTCTCTCAAATATCACATCCCGTCAGTTACAACTGCTCAATGTCATTGGTAGGCGTGTATTTATTAGAGAACCAGAGTTAGATAAAACCATTAGCAAAGGGCAAGGTGTAAAAGAATTGGGTAGTGTTGAAGAGGAGCAAAATTTTTGGTTGAGGCTGGTTGGTGACAGTGAAAGGGAGATTCGAGAAAGGCTCTTTGCTGTGAACTGTTTAGCCATTTTAAGAAGTGATTCTTTCTTCTCCAACAAATTTGTCAATGATAGAAGCCAGACTCCTGTGGGATTAAGCCAGATGATGTGGTGGGTTTCATTGAATCAAGATGACTTGAAGGATCGTGTTAAATCTCTTGCAGCAGAAATTGGAAATGGCAAGACGAGGTACAATTTTCCTTTCCACCATTATGACCCATGATTTGTTTTGCTGTATGAACTTTTGTATTCATCTTTTTTTTTTTTTTCCTCATTTTCAAGATACTGGTTCTTTTAGTTGGGGTTACTTGTAACTTTGTATCTCAAGTTGACTACTTTCATGTTAGATACTTGCAGGGTTGTTTCTTCTTGTGTTTACATCATTTCATAGAGTAATGGCGTTCTTAATGAAACTATCTTGTGAAATTGTAATCTTCTCATTACTGATTCTCTCTCTGACATTTTATTGCAAATGATTCATTGTTGCTCTCACCTTTAGATTGTCATCTACCTGCGAACGAGTTGATGAAGAGAGGTGCATTTTCTGTTCGGCGTCTGTTCCATTTGAATCTACAGAAGTTGCGTTTTGCCAAGGAGTGAAAGATGGTAGCGGAGGAGACGATCAGGTACACAAACTAGCAAGGTGTGCTGTTTCTATGAAGGTCGTCTCCCCAATGACTCCAACCTGGTTTTGCATTTGCTGTCACAGAAAGTCTGAGCATATCCCTCCTCCTCTGCTTTTCTTGCTGTCCAGCTTTCCTTTTGATTTATCAGACGTTTCCCAAGTTTGCAGTTCAAAAGAATCTGCAAAACCTTTGTGCCCATTTTGTGGTATATTGTTGCAAAGACCGCAAAATAAATTTCATCTCTCTCCTTGCCCTGTTTGAATGGGAGGAATCGTCTGCATGATGAATGTAACCTTAAAGCAGATTGTCATTGTTAATGTTTGTGCATAATACTCCTAGCTCCGTCCAAAATCTTTCTCTTTGCATATAGAAGACGTTCAGACAATAAATTTTGATTACATGAAACAATAACTTATTCTATAGGTTTGTTTTGCAACACATCAGAAAAGTCAATGATAAAATGGTCTTATTTAAAGCCAATAATAATAAAGCCAATAAAATGGTCTTATTCAGTAGCGTTAATTATTGTTATCATTGTGAACATAAATCTTATATATTGAAGTCAGAAAAAAAAAATCTTTTATTTTAACCAATGAAGTTATTTTCTCAAAAAAAAAAAAAACTCATTTTTCGAATACACGGCGTCTAATCGTTTAGTCAATAAAAAAAATAGAAAAAATCAAATTCGATTAGATGAATAACGTCTTCAGATTCATTAAACTAACTGTTTGGTTTTTCTTATTAATCAATTTTCAAATTGATTTTGGGTACATGTTCCGTTCGCCCTAATTAATGTTTTCAAGTGCAAATTTTAAAACAAAATTAAAAAACGAAAATAACTAAAAATATCACAACTAATAATTTTAAAGTAAGACAAAAATCAATTGAAGATTGGCATTAGTAATAGTTGTTGTTTAGAGTTATAAAAATTGTTCATTTTCAGTCGTTCGTATAATTTTGTCCTAACAAGTAACTTTTCTCTTCAAACTATCAAATTCAAATTACTTTCTCTTCTTCTTCAACTTTCAAAGAAAAAACTAAAAAAATCAAAATGTCAAATTTAAAAACAACAATTATGAATACTACTCATTTAAATTTAAAGAATATAAACAACAAAGATTACTACTACTCATTTTAAAAAAAAACTAAGTATTAAAAAAATAATAAATAACTAAAATAAATATAACACAAAAAATTTAAAAAAAAATTCTGATCCCAAGGTAGCCGACCCAAAACGGACTATCCATGGAGGACCAGCCGGTCCAAAACCGGCTACCCAAAGAGAGGTAGCCGAACCAGAACCGGTTATTTCTCCTTGGGTAGCCGATTCCGGTTCGGCTATCTCTCCTTGGGTAGCCGATTTCAGACCGGCTGGTCCTTCATGGATAGCCGGTTTTGGGCCGGCTACCTTGGAACATAAATTTTTTTTTTTCAATTTTTTTTGTTATATTCATTTTAGTTATTTATTATTTTTTCAATACTTAGTTTATTTAAATGAGTAGTATTAATCTTTATTGTTTATATTTTTTTAAATTTAATTAAATTTAAATGAGTATTATTAATAATTATTATTTATGTAAAAGAAATTTAATTTAGTGTTAATTATATTTTTGTGTTATTGTTATTATTATTGTTATATTTATTTTAGTTTCAATATATGAATAAGAAGTATTAAGTAATTTTGATAATCCCTTTTACCCTATTAAAGCAGAAAACAGGATGCTGATGTGGCAATTTCTTATTAAAAGGTTTTGGCTCCAAATGAACCATATTGCATAAACCATTCTGCCACGTGTCACCCTCTTTTAAAAACAAAAAATATATTTACAATATTAACAAAGAGATCAGATGTTCATGTTCATTCAAATTTTTGAATTGACAGTGAATGTAACTTTCCTTCTCCACTTATTTAGGATTTTTGAAAAATCCCTTTTACCCTATTAAAGCAGAAAACAGGATGCTGATGTGGCAATTTCTTATTAAAAGGTTTTGGCTCCAAATGCACCATATTGCATAAACCATTCTGCCACGTGTCACCCTCTTTTAAAAACAAAAAATATATTTACAATATTAACAAAGAGATCAGATGTTCATGTTCATTCAAATTTTTGAATTGACAGTGAATGTAACTTTCCTTCTCCACTTATTTAGGATTTTGAAAATCCCTTTTACCCTATTAAAGCAGAAAACAGGATGCTGATGTGGCAATTTCTTATTAAAAGGTTTTGGCTCCAAATGCACCATATTGCATAAACCATTCTGCCACGTGTCACCCTCTTTTAAAAACAAAAAATATATTTACAATATTAACAAAGAGATCAGATGTTCATGTTCATTCAAATTTTTGAATTGACAGTGAATGTAACTTTCCTTCTCCACTTATTTAGGATTTTTGAAAAATCCCTTTTACCCTATTAAAGCAGAAAACAGGATGCTGATGTGGCAATTTCTTATTAAAAGGTTTTAGCTCCAAATGAACCATATTGCATAAACCATTCTGCCACGTGTCACCCTCTTTTAAAAACAAAAAATATATTTACAATATTAACAAAGAGATCAGATGTTCATGTTCATTCAAATTTTTGAATTGACGGTGAATGTAACTTTCCTTCTCCACTTATTTAGGATTTTGAAAATCCCTTTACCCTATTAAAGCGAAAACAGGATGCGATGTGGCAATTTCTTATTAAAAGGTTTTGGCTCCAAATGAACCATATTGCATAAACCATTCTGCCACGTGTCACCCTCTTTTAAAAACAAAAAATATATTTACAATATTAACAAAGAGATCAGATGTTCATGTTCATTCAAATTTTTGAATTGACAGTGAATGTAACTTTCCTTCTCCACTTATTTAGGATTTTTGAAAAATCCCTTTTACCCTATTAAAGCAGAAAACAGGATGCTGATGTGGCAATTTCTTATTAAAAGGTTTTGGCTCCAAATGCACCATATTGCATAAACCATTCTGCCACGTGTCACCCTCTTTTAAAAACAAAAAATATATTTACAATATTAACAAAGAGATCAGATGTTCATGTTCATTCAAATTTTGAATTGACAGTGAATGGAACTTTCCTTCTCCACTTATTTAGGATTTTTGAAAAATCCCTTTTACCCTATTAAAGCAGAAAACAGGATGCTGATGTGGCAATTTCTTATTAAAAGGTTTTGGCTCCAAATGCACCATATTGCATAAACCATTCGCCACGTGTCACCCTCTTTTAAAAACAAAAATATATTTACAATATTAACAAAGAGATCGATGTTCATGTTCATTCAAATTTTTGAATTGACAAGTGAATGTAACTTTCCTTCTCCACTTATTTAGGATTTTTGAAAAATCCCTTTTACCCTATTAAAGCAGAAAACAGGATGCTGATGTGGCAATTTCTTATTAAAAGGTTTTGGCTCCAAATGAACCATATTGCATAAACCATTCTGCCACGTGTCACCCTCTTTTAAAAACAAAAAATATATTTACAATATTAACAAAGAGATCAGATGTTCATGTTCATTCAAATTTTTGAATTGACAGTGAATGTAACTTTCCTTCTCCACTTATTTAGGATTTTTGAAAAATCCCTTTTACCCTATTAAAGCAGAAAACAGGATGCTGATGTGGCAATTTCTTATTAAAAGGTTTTGGCTCCAAATGAACCATATTGCATAAACCATTCTGCCACGTGTCACCCTCTTTTAAAAACAAAAAATATATTTACAATATTAACAAAGAGATCAGATGTCCATGTTCATTCAATTTTGAATTGACAGTGAATGGAACTTTCCTTCTCCACTTATTTAGGATTTTTGAAAAAATTATTTTTCGATCAATCAATTATCTTCATCACAAACTAAATTCATTACTAATCAGTTTTGATTATTTACATATTAATTTATTAGGTGAGAGGACGCCCCCGAGCATTTATTCCTTTCTAATCAGTTTTAATTATTTACATATTAATTTATTAGGTGGGAGGACGCTCCCGGGCATTAGCCCGGGGCAAGCATCTAGTTGATGTTTATTACTCCCTCCGTCCCATAAAAATATTTCAGTTTGAAAATGTATAACATTTTTATTTCAGTCAACTCAATCAATGTACAAGTCATTTTTGTCCTAATATTTCCGATTGTACCCCTAATATAATTTGGCCACCGAGGACGAATCACTGAAACTGGGTTGGAGTAGTTAATTGATCAGCACCGTCCAAATCTTATGAGGAAATTTTTTTCGATGCAATTCATCCTTTCCAAAGATTCCGGAGCTAAAAACATGGAAACAAATCCATAAAACAAAACTAGCTATAAAGTCACCAAAAACGGTTATTCTGATTTCAAACACTTAATGGTGATCGAATTCGGTCGATATCGTAAACTTGAGTTCTGTTGGTGTATGAGGACGACGACAATGGTGAGCAAATCAGGGAGAGTATTTCTTGTTGGCGGTGAAGGTAGCAAAAGACGTCGCCGGAAAACCTGTAGAGTAATTTATTGGATTAGGAAGCAACAGATGGAGGAGATTGTCAAGTGAGAGAGAGAGGAATTTTCGCTGCCGTTGAAAGAATTTTGCCGGCGAGAGGCGAAGAAAAGGACTATGATCGGTGGCTGGGATTGATTTTGCCAGGAGTGTGGATTCTGGAGACCTGGTTTTGTGTTGGGATAATAGTAAAATTAGTTCTATTGTAAGGGTAATTCTGTATTTGGTCCAAATTTTATTTTGACTTTTTTAAACTGGACTATTTTTTTGGGACAATATTTTTTATCAAACTGGAATATTTTTGTGGGACGGAGAGAGTATATTTTTAAATGTAATTAAATTTAAATAAGTAGTATTAATTAGAATTTAAAAATTAATTTATTATTAATTATATTTTTGTTGTGTATTGATTAATATTAATTTTTATGTGAATGAAATTTAATTTAGCAATAATTTAACAATGAAATTTTTTATTGGTTGTTTCTCGCGATTTGCTATTTTTTAAGCTTCCTAATTTTTGTAGATCTAAATTTGAAAGATGGGAATTTTACTTTTTTGGTTTGAGGCTGGAGAAGAAGAAAGGAGAAGAATAGGAAGAAGAAGAGGAAGAAAGGAGAAAAATAAGATAAAGAGGGGCAAAATTATCTTAACGATTGTAAGTGAACAATTTTTATAACTGTAAAAAGCAATTCAGTAATAATAAGATATGTGCTCGTGAATTCCACGAGATTTTCAGAAGATCCTATGGAAAATGTTTGCGAAAACTACTGCTATTCATCAGAAAACTATTGCAGCTTACATCAAGTACATTTTGTATACGTACCTGCATATATTTAGGCACAGAGGAAGAGAGGGTTACGTTACAAATACCGTTTATGAGGATTATCGACATATATATTACAGTGAAGACAACTGCAAAACAGAGAGCGAGCATCGCTATATATTTATATACTGATGAGCTGAAAAGGAATGATTGAGAATATATATATATATACATGGTTTCAGCCTCGATCAACAAAAAGAATGAACGTATGTGTATGACCATGTTTGGAACTATACATGGGTCAGTCTCTCTTTACAGCATATAATGGTTTAGTTTTTGAAGCTAGCACCAAATTGGTATGGTATAGTATGAATACAGATTCTAAAAGCTCTGTATATATCTATCTCTCTGTGTGTGTACGGATCCCCCACCAATTTGCATCAGCTCAGGGTGGAAATCCTTTCATTTCATTTGTGATATGTTTCTGTATATTGCTTTGCTTATTACTATATATATATATACGCTGCTGCTCACTACTTGTGCTTTTTGCCAACAGGTTTCCTTCCACCAGCAAGAATCCTTTGGATTTGAAGTCCTCTGCTGAAGGCTTGGTTGAACAGCAGTCTGGTCTGGAATTCTGACACAAAGGGGAACCATGCCAGCACAGCAACCGGCATGAAGATGACTATTCCCATTATGTACTCATATCCTCTTCCCAAAGCTCTCACAGATCCCCACATTCCCAACCCCTTCACTAAGGGTCTGCACGCTTGTGCTATCTGCCATGTGAAACCAAACATTTAAAAAAAGCCTGTTATATTACACTTCTTCATATTTGGAGGTCGACGACCAGACAAGGGAATTCTTTTCGTTTTCTTTTCTTTTTTTTTCCCTGATGGATAGATACACATCAGAAGCAGAATACGCACCTGAAGAAGAGCCCATCCTGTGGGCAAGAAAGCCAGCAAGCTCGCAAAAATATCACCAACTGTGAGACTCAGAAAAGTGAACATGATCCCCAGAGTTACGATGAACCCAATAAACAAAAACATCTTGAGAAGTCGGAACATTAGCTGGAAATCTGCACTAAACTTCTTCCTCCCCATTGACACGACCTGCAGAGAAAGGTAAAAGGTCAGTCTGAACAAGACATAGTTGAAGAATCAATCGTGTGTAAGTTGTAATTGCTGAATAATAATAGAAGACATTTAGAGTGCACTGACCTTCAGAATTATCATCACTGCTACAATGACCAGCCAAGACAGGCCATAGACCTGTAGTTACAGCAGCAACGAAAGAAAATAAATTGTTACTCGGTGAATTTGACTTTACCCACTAAATCAGCGTAGCAGTTAAAAAACTTCAGGAGTTGCTCTGTTCATGCATCTGTAGATTCTAAGAGAGACTACTAAGATGCAAAGATCTACTTTCCAGCTGAAACTTATGCTAATTGCTGACGTACAAATATTGCTTATGGTTACAGATCACCACGATTAAAAGAAAATGAAACTCACAATGATACTTTTGTCTCCGTTGGCAACATGCAGATGATATACGATACCATACTGGTACATTATGAAGCGCAGGGAAAGTATGATTTCCCAGAACCTCCCGAGTAAACCAGTGTGCTGTAGGTGCTCTTGTTCCTCTTCCCACCAGGATTCCCAACTTTTGTTAGCAGGAACCCCAATGCCTCCATGGTTTGTGATCCACTTGACCCAGTCATCCCAATCTTCAACAATCTTCTGCCACTCAAAGCCAGAGGGATTGAAGAGAAATGGAGCAAACAGCCACGAGCAAACAAGGAACCACAGTGAAAATGTAAGAAAGATGTATGTTCCAGTGTCAGTTGCAGCTGAACCATATATCTGATATACTATGAGCAAAATCATCAGTTCAAGTGCTTTTGTAAAGTGGCTTCTTGAGTACATTCGGTAATTCTCTGCATACTTCTCATGTCTTACAACAAATCCACGCCCTGTTGCCCTGTATTTAGCCCCTCCATGCAAAATTGTACGTCCAAAGTAGTGAAGCTTGGTTCCAAGAGAAAACGTAAAGAAAACAGATGCCAGCTGAAGTTGCATTATTATTACATCACCAGCTGCAGTTCTAAATCCCCTCTCCAGTCCCATCTCCATAACCATGGGCAACATCATCAAAAGACCAAGTTGGACAACAGATTGTGAAGCCATGGCAGCACCCAAAACATCATCACCCCTGGATCTTGCAATCTTAATAATGGACTTCTCCAATCCACTCAGTGAAAGATACAGCTTGCCATACAAGTAAGCATACACTGTAAGAACCACAATCTGCATAGTTTCAGGTCAAAATCCAACTGTCAGCTTGTAAAGTGAGATTAAGGAGCTATATCAATCAAATAAGATCTCCAAACTATACTGGAGTTTGTCCTAGTAGAATTAACTCTAACATCCATTGTGCCTCTACAATCAAAAGAAAGATAAAAGAGTAGTCTGCGTATGGTTTTTTTTATAAAAAAAAAAAAATTAACTTGCACCAATATTCATTCACTACTCAAGTGCATAGGATATTTTTTACCATCATTTTCTTAGTTGATTCCTTGATGAAAAAGTATATCATGACATCTGTTTTGAGTTCACAATTAGTAAAAAAGTTAGAATTACCATTGAGCTGACATAAAATCCTGTAGTCGTGTAGTAGCAGGACAGCATGCGGAAAAAGTCAAAACGATGGCCAAGTCTGTATATGTCACGGCTGAGAGTCTGTTCCCCATTACCACATGCCACCTTCGCTTCAAAAAGGGAGATCTGGTTCAGACCAACATCTCGTCCCTTCCCAACTTGGATATACTCGTGGTGAGTGATATTTCCACGTCTCAGGGTAGAATTGAACCCTGAACATTGTCTTATCAATCAATAATGTTTGGACTTTCTTTAAAAATGACATGGAAATTTAATCATTTGTCAGAAAGTTTTTTTGAATCCTAAAATGAAAGCAGCTAATTGGTTCTAGTACTCACCCGCGAATATGTCTTCACTGAGATTTATACCTCTTGAAGCCTTACTAATACCACCACGGGTTATGTGAAATATTCTGTCGAAAACATCAGGATGTCCATAATGGAACCGAACCCTAATTCACCACAGATTGCAGAAGAATAAGTTCACAGATAAAGAGGCTAATGAACTTAACTGTGCTGCTTAGTTTCAGTGTTCGTATTTAACTAGCACCCACTTTTGGATACTGGATGTGAAGGAACATTTATTAGTGGATGAGTACAGCTAGTTCCTAGAACATTATCAATGATATGAAGAAACATGACTGATATATTGAAGAACATACTTTAAGGGTCTTGCTAGAACTCTTTGGCCGATCGTGACGAAACTTGTTTCTTGATTTGACATAAACCAAGCCAACGATGAAACACTGTTCATAACAGAAAACCCACTAGATTAAGAAACGTCTATAAAGTTACACGAACCGAAGCCCCAAAACACCAGTATTAGCTAACCTTCCAGTGAAGATGTGTTCACGCACACCAAGAATTGTTGGTGGGCGAACACCATGATCCTCATTAAATTCCTCAAGCAAGTTACGCATTTTAAATGCTTCTTCCAAGTAGTTGTCCTATATAGAAAGTAAAAGTTATCATGTGCTATGCCTCATGTAAGTCAACCAATCCTAATGAACTCAAACTCTCCAGTTTTTTACCTGGTTCATATCAATTGTTTGGAGAGCTTCCCCTCTAGTAAAAACTATAGCATGATTCTGATTTTCAGGCTTTCCCTCTCCCAATTTTGCTTGACCTGGTAGTTTGACGCGATAGATTTCCTTCATCATCAAAAGTTAAGTCAGGTCTCAAGCTAAATCAAGAAAAATCATTGGTGATAAGAGTATAACACTAACTATACCTGATCAAGATTCTCAACAGCTTTTACCAACACAGAATAATAAACTTTCTGCACTTTTCCACCTTCCCTTTCTTCAACTTCATCGATATATGCAACACGCAGTGAAGGATTGCTTTGTGCAGGAAAGGAAGAAAAAAAAACACACATACACACACACAAAAAAGCGAGAGCATATATAAGATTAATATGCATTATCAAAAGGAAAGGTGGCATTTTCTAAATGTGCACAAAGTTGAAACTTACTTGACCATCAAATTCAAAATATCAGTTGCTCGGCGATCTCCACTTCTCTTCTGATTTCCGTAGTTCTGGCAGGTAGCAACGTATGTGAACTTCATATCGGCTATCGCATCAAGTTGGGAATAAATAGATCTCTGACTTTTCTTATCATGTTCCGTTGGCATAGTAACCGCTCGGTATCCATCAAGTATCTCTGCTCATGATTAAATAAGAAGCAACACACAATTATTTTTTTCCTGGTAAATTTCAGGCAAACTACCGAAAGCTCTGAGGAACTTTTAGATCGTAATCATCCTGTTGACAATAGCTTCTTGCAGTCTATCATTCAGATTGCATCATTTGACTAAAGAATATTGTGCTACAGAATCATAGCCAAAAATATATTTGTAATCTAAGCTTAAAAAACAGTCAGATCTGCACTCATTTAACATCCAATAACTCTGGATGAAATCCTCACCTTTTTCTGTTGCCATGTCAAGATATGCTTGAAGCTTCAATGCCCTTCTGTAGTACATCATCCCTCGGACTGCAATCAGGATAGAAGCAATGAGCCAAAAATGAAGGTTTTGAGAGAAAAAGGAAAGTAGGCAGCCAGTAGTGGATGTAGTTATTTTGGAACCTGTTCTGCTCAGTGTTTGTCCCCTCAAGGAAGCCCAGTGACGAAGTTGCAATATGTTTTCCTCATTTTCCCAGACTTCAAACTCATTACAATTGAGGCGTTCAAGGAAGTTATTCCATTCGTCTAAGGATCGGAATTGGTTAATGACAGGTAGATATGTATATATTGTAATAAAACAAAAGGTTTATGATAATCAAAATTACAAAGTATGAATAAACCTGGATAAATTTTCTGAAGGTAGTATATAATTGAAACACCATCTTCATTTTCCAGTTCGAGGTCACTTTTGGAGAAGACCGTCTCCTCACTGTAGTAGGGAGTCATGACACTGCAATAAAACAGAACAAATTGCAACATTTGTCAGCATTGCAAAATGCTACCTATAAGGATTGACACAAATAGCCTCTCCAGTAGCGTAGAGTTCTTCCCTATGTTAGATTAAGCAGGAAATCCCATTAAGCTGATTAATATTTTGAATAATTCTTGTAAATACTAAAAATGTACCAAAATTATTTTCTCATTATTATCAAAATTTGTATCTTAACATAAACACCACAAGCTCAACAAAAAGAAACTAAGTAACATTTTAAGCTCAGATTTCAAAAGCTCGTTTGATTATATGCTCTGGAAAACAACAAGCAAAGTTGTACCAGAATGATAGCATTTTGCGAACTCGAGGCGCTCGGGGCATATCCATGAACAATGAATTAGCAAAAAATGATATCCTTCGCCTTGCTTCAAGGTTTGTCGGGACATCAATGGCAGATTCTTTTACAGTTAAAAGAAGATAGAGGCGCCGGATCTGCAAGGGTAGCACAAAAAAATAAGGCACTAGCGATGGTTTACTGGATTGCCACCATCGTTGTTTTTTACAGAATTCCCTCCAAATGTTTAGCCTCAAAAAAAGAAGCTGAGTGTTATTTGAGTACCTGTTCCTCCCATTGTGCTGTGACCGGGGGAGGATAGACTATAGCTGACTTTTCAAATAGCTGCCTTCCAGAATCTTTGCTTGTATGTCCAAGTTCTACCAACTCCCTAAAATCATAATTATAGATATGGAAAAGACAACGATATACATAATCAAATCCTTATAAATATAGAAGAACAAATTACTGCATAAGATATAAATACAATTACAGACCGAATTTCATTGACCATCATGTCCCGCGTAACCACTTCTAACATGTCTTGTAATTTGAAAACCACAGAACCTTCCTTAGATGGATCAGCATCTTTCTGCAGTAAAGAACATGGACATGTTTAAAGATGAAATTTTAGGAATGAAAATCATGAAATGTTACAATCGCTCCTGGCTACAACTTACCAATATCTCTGCAAGCTCGATGAACTTGTTCACAAGTTGAGGAAGATGACCTGTCCTGAAATTCGCAAGGAACGTGCCTTTTGAAATGTTATTCTCAACTTCCTTGATGATGATTCTGATAACCCTATTACACACACAAACAAAAAAAGAAAGGAGGAATTAGCATCCACATAATGTTGGAGTCCATGGATATATTACCGAGAGCTTAAACAAAGGCTACACACAGTTCAGTTGTCATTTAAGTTAGCTTGCTTCCTGCATTGGGGCCAGGTAGAAACAGATCATATTCCTAAGTATTTTCTGTGGAAAATGTTAAATATGTTTGTATAATGTCATGAGGGTTTTAGATTTTATGTTTTGTTTTAGAAGGCAAGGTTAACACTCAGGAGATGAAAAACCTGGGGTTGTCTTCCACTTCTTGTTGGGTGAAATGGAATAAAATGATTATGCACAACATTCGAGGCTAGGAGATGTCTCCAGGATAATAACAAGTTTCTTTTCTTTTTTTTTTTTATGATATTTAATCTCACATCCCCAGAGCATTCATCTCAGGTATGTTTAGGACATCTATTCCGGACTCTAATATTATTGATAGGACAAAAAGTTCCTTAAGTAGAATTATATAACAATACAGAAAAATGAGCAAGGAAATTTTAAATGCTAAACATAAATCAGTTGTGTAAGCAAATACAGTAAACAGTAACTTTGGAAAAACTAAATGGTAAAAGATTTATTTATCAATTTGGTTCTGAAGATTTGAATGAGAAAGATATGATGGTCTAAAGCAGTTAACAATTGACCAGAAATAGAAACGAATACCTTTTCTCAGTTTCCCCAACAACTAAGGCACTCAGAACAAGTTTGAAAGATTCATAGCATTCTATAACAGCGCATTTCATATAGTCATCAGCACAAATGCGCTTCCAGAGGTCCGCATCTTTTGATCTGAACTGTGCTGCCATATCAAGTGCAATAGGAATCTGCAAAACCAAGACAGTAACACGATTGCTTCTTCTGTTGCATATATATATATATATATATATATGCATAAAGAGAAAAAAAAAAAGGAGGAAAAAAAAAGAACAGGAATAGAAAGATGGAGGACTACAAAGAGATTAAGCTTACTTTGCTGGCAAGCAGAAATGGTGGCCACTGAATTAATTTTAGACTAGGATCTGAGGAATATGGAACAAGTAATAGATCCATCTCCCTGAAACACATTAATGTATTACTTAGGCTCCATTCTTCAACCATACACAATAAAAGATTGAAAGGGATAAAGAAAATAACAATTATTAGAAGCATAAACAAAACAAGAAAGTGGGATGCTTTGCCTGTCGCTAATGAGATCTTCTTCACGGAAACTACATATAACTTCATTCCACAATTGAGCAAATTTTGCAGCTTCACTTCGCTTACTTGCAGTAACCTAAGGATAAAGACAAATTTTAGCTCAAACTCAAACTTCACATTCTAAACTACAATTCATTCAAGAGAAGCATTTTAACCTCATCGAAGCGCTTAGACAGGGAAAAGCCCCTTTTCTTGGTTACGCTCGAAGGCACCAAATAAGCATTGAAGGCACCAGGTAAAGACTGGAACCTTGACCTAAGCATGGACAGGGTGCGAATCTGTGACAAGATATACATACCATGATGAGTTTAAATAAGAAAGAGGGGAGCTGATATACCAACAGGGGATTTGAACTTATGCTACTATGTCTGATGAAAGCTAGTGATGTAATATAGAAGAGACTTACATGCGAAACATGTCAAGTTCATTATTTCTCATTTAATATTTTTTACTAATAGAAACAGTCCGATGCAACATTCAGAGTTTTGTCCTTGAGTTGCAAGTAATTATAGAAGAGAACACTGACCCCAAAAAAAACAGGGATAACATAGTCTCTGAGACTATATATGACTAATATACACAATGGGTGGTGATTATTTCTCTCTTTTATTTATGCTACTAATTTCCATGATAGCAATGCAGTTCTACTGTTTTAACCTTCTGACCAGGTACATGAGTTTTGAAGCAGCTGAGGAGAGTAGCAGATATACATTTCAGTATAATTTTAGGACTTCAGTTTACATTATAGATTTCCATCTTAAATTCAACAAAGAATCCTCATAACCACCCCAAATGTCCATCCATTGCAAGAAATATGAAGGACAGAAGGAGAATTGCAAGAATGACCAAGTAAATAACTAAACAAATAAAAGAGTAAAAGTTTGGCATCATATTTCTACCAGAATTGAATACGAAAACATGATTTGGATTGCTTAATTTATGATATCCGCATCATCATGTTCTTAGCAACATGATGAACAACATAATAGGGAGTTAAATATCTTAACCCTTTAATACGTCTCAAAACATGGTATCTTGAAATGAAAAATCACCAAAACTAAATAAGAATTTTGAATAGTAAAGACTTGTTCACTCATTACCTCGCCCAGACGATCAAACGCTCCGATAATACCACCGCACAGGGTTGAAAAAATGGCATACCAGATTTGCACATCCATAAAATAGACCTATGTGTTATTTCCCAATCATATCAGATGTGATCCTTTGAACATTGATGATTTTTCTTCTTCCACAGAATGACAAAAAAAACTTACCAATAGCACAGGAGCCCAAAGTGCAATAACCGCTCCATAGTTATGCCTTGCTGCATTTAACACAACTATTAAGGGAAAAGCTTTAACTGGGAGAACTCTAAAGCATAGACAAAATTATACCATTAGGGAAAAATTCGTGCCAAGCATATTGCACACGACGAATGTCCATTATGTCTTTCGTCGGCTTTATCAGAGGTTTAACCTATAGTGAAACAACCATCAGATTTGGACATTGTAATTAACTGAATTATTGTTTTTTATCCTTATCTTACAGCAACAATAAACCAAAGTTGAGGCAATACCTGGACAAAGTAGCTAAAAGAGAACTTGCAGCACAGAAGTATCGCCCAGAAGAGAGTATACCTGATAACATTTTATTGTGAAAATTTTAAGATTATGATCATTGATAACAATTAGTAGACATGGGCAAAATGGTAACATACTTTATGAGTGCAAATTGACTTTCGTGCATTCCCCTTCCCACATAGATTCTTGGCTGCAAAAGTTCAAGTTAGTCATTAACAGATCTCACTTATGGTGTTAACTTCAAATTGAATTGTAGAGAAGATATCTATAAAGGGCAATAAATCACAAGTCTTCGAAAACAATTCATTGATTTAGAGGCTACGAAATCAGATGGATGGATGGATGGTTCTTGCAAAAAAAGTCTATGTATCTTTGGCTCTATCATATCATAAGCAGAAGGTATAGTTCCTTCGATACAATCTGTTCAAAATTTAAAATTAAAAAAAAGATTTTCCAGTTGCTGCAGTGGACTACCCAGAGCTGAGAATGAGTGAAGTTTTGAATAATCTAATGTCACCACTAGTGAATATTACAGTTGAAATCATCAGCAAGACCTGAGCAGTTCCTATTGGTGGCTAAGTACAGTTTATCGAGGTTATTACAAATTGAAGGCTTTAGTGAGACAAATGGAGAGCACCCAAAAGAAAAAGAGGGGAAAAAAACCCTCATCCGAGCAAGTGAATATACTTAGAGCACATATAAAACACTTCCTATGTGTGAACATGAATCTAGAACATTAAAAGGTCTTTTCCTATCTTAACATTCCACGTAAAATATGTTATTTTTCTCAAAAGTTTCAAGATTAACGTTAGAAGCAAGCAGCAGGTCATGATTCACAGAAGAAAAATGAGTAATGTCATGCTCAATGGTAATAATGACACAAAGATAATCATTGTTGTCACAAAATAAATGAGGTAAAGGAAACTGTGGGAATGGAAATGGCGAAATCCCTGTAATCTCTTTCAATGATGATGATGATGACGTAATTTAGAAGAAACAAATGCATCCCTTTTCTCTATGGAAGTGAGTTCGTGTTGGTCAGCAGATAAATGTCCAACAAGAGAGAATGTAGGTCAAATGGATGTAATGCTCCAGGACATCACAAAATGTATTTACATATAGCATCTAAGAATAATTTTTGCAGCCTTAGTCATCTGAAAAAATGATTTCAAGCTCACAAAATAATTTTTAGCTTTTACAAAACAATACGGTTAACTATGTTGAGGAAAGAATCAAGAGACTGAGAGATGTAAAAGTGAGTTCCAGCCGATTTCCACAAATTCCCAACAAGTGAAAAGTGAAATAAAGTACCAGTAGCTTGCAAAGGAACTTTTTTCAATGCAGACACAATATCTTAATGTGTCCAAATACGTTTCAAGATCTACATTTGGTGACAAGAAAAGTGCATTTTGAAACCAAATAGAACAGCAGACTGGCAAATGAATGATGTTATGAAGCATAATTAGACTATATTTGAGCATATTTAGGGAACTTTTTATTAAGTAATTATCTATTCAAGTCATAACTCATCTTTATTGCAAATAGAATGGGTAGCGGCCGGGTCAATTGTACCGCCAATGGAAAATCCTTGAAAACAAAAACTAGATGAAGGAGAAATCAAAAGGAAGAGAACTGTACCTGTGACCACCAGAGCAAAAACCTTACTATAAGCCAATCCGAGTTCTCAATCCATCTCCGAAGCATAGGAAAGACAAACAAAACTGCTGCTAGCAAGTTTGGTACAAGGTATATAGCCACTGCCATCAGATATAAAGGAGGAATTCCCTTCACTTTATCGAGGAAGGATAACACATTTTTCAGGTTTCCAAATGAGAACCTTGAGTTTTTCTCATCAAGGAGATAACAGAGAGGAAGTATAATGGACCATGCAAGACTGACAATAATCTTCAGAATATTCCTGAACACATCTGTAAATTTCCATCTGTGGTATCCTGGAAAGTTTAAAATAAGGTCCAGCATGCCTGAGACAAAAAAACATGAAGAGTTTAATCTCTTAATTAAGCAAGTCCGAATAGAGTTTCTCCTGATCTTCAAGTATATTAGGACACCAAGATATGTTAATGACTCCACCTTATGATGTCCTTTAAAGATACAGAATGGTGATACTATAGACAAATCAGAAAAACATGATTTTTGGAAGCAGTTTTTTGTTCTTGAACGGGAAACACTCCATTAGGTAATATTTAGAGGCATATGAATAATGAAACCGCCATAATCTTCAACAATGTCGTTACTGTTTCCTGTTTATATAAGCCAAAACAGTAGAAGTAAATTTGGAAAATTGTTCCTCACAGCTTAAGCTGTACTCATACAGATTTTCTCTTTGTATGTTTTACCAGATAACATAATTGGGTCCACGGAACAGCTGAAAGCATGGGAAGAGAAAGTAACATACATACTTTTACAGCCACCTGGTCAACTTCATCACTCTTTTCAACATTTAAGGTACCATATAAGATTGACAGCACACATTATATGTAATAAACTATTACATCCATAATGATAAACCAGAAGCACCATGTAAGGAAGGATTTTCACGTCCTCCGAGTGATCTCATAATGGTATTGCATGATAAGATTCACAGGACATCACATATATTTGATAAATTGTGATTACCAACTTATTTTTTTATTGAAGTGTTTTCCAATGAGTACCTTTGGTTAGCCTGTTATCTACTTTTTTTCTTTTTCTTTTGAGTTTTCTATGAGTAAATCAAATTTTCAGAATCAAAGAAGGACCAATCACAAGACAAGAACTAAAGCGAATTGACAAGAACTCAGAACAAACTACGTAGTGAGAGCAGTTAACGATTTGAATAGCATACTCTGAAGGAAACGTAGTAATGCTGCAGTGATGAAAATGCTGGAAAGCTTATACAACATGTCTTTCCCGAAAATGTTTAGTAAGGACACATCGCTCCATGCAATTATTGCAATGGCCTGCAGGTGGAAAAGGAAGTTCCAACATCAACTGTTTTTATCCTACCACCAAGATGCAGGATTAGAGGAAAAAGTTGGATTGAAAAAGCAAATTTTAGACAAGTACCTGAAGCGCAAGTATATGAAAGGTCCACAGACGGTCGAAACTCCTGAAGGTATGCCAAAATGTCCTGGTCTCAACAAAGAAGGATTTCCCTGTTTTCCCAGGTTTTTTTGATATCGTAGATGTTCCTTTTCCCTGACATAGGAGTATAGGAGTTGCATGAAGAAAAGATGCAAAGTATAATGGATTAGTTGATTAACAATGCAGGTGTTACAATCAAACCTGTGACAAGTTTCGTGTTGATTTAAAGAAATCATCATCATCACGCATTGGCCAACCCAAAGAGAAGCAATCAGATGACCTGGATGACATTTATCATTTGTGCTTCCAATTAACAGAAAGAAACATTATAAATCTCACTCTAAAAATTAAACTCTTTAAGGGATCACATACCAGAAATACTCGTTCAAATCGTCATAATTGCACCAGTCTGAATGTGGTGCTGTCCCATTCTTGCTTTTAGCTGCTTCCTGGAGTATTTAGTGAAGAAATGTTATCTGGAGAAACTACCTTTTTCTGATAAAAGATCAAACATTCTTCCTGAATCTTGGAAAGTCCTAAGCAAATTTTTCATATGAAGTACCTTTTCAATTACTCGATAAATTGGTGTGATGACCTTTCTGAGGAAAGATTCATCATCCCCACCATAAGAAGGTTTGATATTTTCTCCAGTGACAATGCTGACATTGCCAGCCAAAAGACCATGCAGCTCATAAGCCATCTGAAAGTGATTTACATGTTACCATACGAAGTCCTTCAACATGTATTCACATGATGGATATACAATGATTCTAAGATTACAAAAAATAATGAACAGCTCACATTATGAAATATGTAGCACAAACACTCTGGCATGAAGCGAAGATTGGCAGCTTCACCCCAAATAAGAAGATAGAGACCCATGTAAAGGATTTTCCTTTGTTGCACCTCTTGCTGGCCTTGAGGGAGCCTAGAAACAAGAAATGCGTGAGTTCGTTCAAAGAAGCTGAATGTCAGTGATGCAGTAAAGAGAAAGGATCCAAATTATCGCACCGTAAGCTGTGCTTTCTTCCCAAATACTTGCACCAGGTTTTGTAATTTTTGAAAAGCTTGTTCATGAGTGCATCTACTGCACGATCATCTAGCTGCAACAAGCACCATGTTTGACTATTATTTTTTAGATAAAAACAGGAAATAAAATTGAAAGACATATAATTATTGACTGGCCACAATTGGCGGGGTCTATGAACAGGAATTGGAAACGGAGCTTTCTCTCATTTGGTTGAAGGTATAGAAATGTGGCAAAAAGAGCTTACAAATGCAATCACTATAGGAAACCCTATATTAGTATTTTTACAACTGAGCATCTTCCGTACCTTGTTCAGTGGCTCGGGCTTGGGAACTAGCCTTGTGTGGATATTGGCCAGGAGTAAAATCAGATCCTCCCTTTTATTTCTTACATTATCCCTCTGGAAACATCAACACAGAGATGGTTATTAATAATATGGGCTAACATTTCTTCTCTTGAGCAATGCACTTAAGATCAACTCTTCATACCTGAAAACCAAACATGGCTCTCAGCCAATCCAGAAGGTCCAACTCCCCAGATTTCTGTCTTTGCTGCTCAAACTGAGCAGGCCAAGTTAAGCCTCTAGTGTTCCAGAGAGCACCAACGGATGCTTTAACCTGGCGCCAAAGAAAGTCATGAAACTTGCCACGCAATATCTGTATAGAATCAATGTAATTTAAAGGACAGCAAAAGTTTAACCTCATCAAGCTGCATAATGGACTGTGATGACCCTGCAGAATCCAGAGGAAGAATATTGTAAGGAGCATAAATCTCCTTCTTGGCTTGGACGTCATTGGCCGCAGCCATGATCTGTTCACATTAAGTTCATGATGTTATGTGGCATGATATTCCCAGTATCATTGCATAATTGCAAACTTTGACAAATAGCAATTACAAAAAGGTCCAGAAGGACTGACCTCGGCAGAAACTTCCTCAACTTTTTCAGTCTTGTTAACTGCACAAAGAACTTCAAAAAGAACTCCAGCAGTCTGATAAGCTTTCCCAAGCTGAGCTCTGTACATGCAAAACTATTAATTACTAAACCTGTTCAGACCTAGATAGAAAACAGCAAAACAGGTCCTTAGATAGAAAAGATGCCAACCTATCTGCTTGCTCCCCCTTGTTGAGGGCCACAACATAGTGCTCATAATATTGCTTGTAAAAACTTTCGATTTCTCTAGCGTCGGTCTTCTTAACGCGGGCAGCAAGACTCGTTGCATTGTCCTAAACAACCAAGTGATTAAGTAGATCAAAATCAATGACCTCCCAGATGTTTACATTCTTAAATCTTCATAAAAGTTCAGCACTAAATTGGTGTCTTTAATATGATTTTGTCTTTCGAAGATGAAAACCAGATTCTGAGAACATCAGATCACACAGGTTGGAAAAATGAGGGGCCTGTTACCTCTTCAAAACAGAATACCAACTTAATCCTTTCCAGAAGGAAAAAAAGCTACATTGAAAATCACACAAAAGTTGATTTACCTCTTTTTCATGAAGAGATTACTGCATTAGTAAGTGTAAGCTGTAATTAAAATTTTCCTTTCTTGAAACTATCGACATAATCAACCTTAAAACATGATCCCTCCCTAAATATGGAAATTGACAATATCAGCATTGACTTTACGTACTGTATTGTCTCGACTTATTGTTCTAATCACTAAGACTTCAAAATTTTCCAAGTAGGAAAGAATAATTGGAAATTATCAAGAATTTCAATAACATAAACTCAACGATAACAGTATACAGACCCGTTCCAAACGCTGTAGAAGCCCTGTTTTGAATTGCCTTACACCACGACCACTGGAAGTTAGATCCAACCTATGCGCTTTTTCGAAAGCATAGAACCGACCTGGAAATACGAATTTACGTTCATAAACATCCAAGAAATTAAACAAGCAGCAACAACAGTTTCGAAACGGATGAAGAGAGAGAAAAATTGAAGTGCGTACATAGATAGGCGACGCGAGGGCGCTCGCTCTGGATTTCTGTGGCCACGCGGAGGATTGGAGCTATTGACTGGAGCGAAGAAGGAACTACCTCCGTATCAAAAACTTCCATGGAAAACTGCGTCATCGCAGCACTACGGGATGGCCTCCGAGCCAACGCCGACGGCGTGCCGACTGACTCCTGACCTCCGGCGCCGGACGTGGACGCCATTGTTTACGAAACCTTCTCTCTCCTCTCCGATCAAGAAAATTTTGCGCTTCGCTAGCTAGGGCTGAAAGCCAGCTAGCTCCGCCAAACAGAAAAATCTCACCACCGCCTCTCCTTTTCTATATTTTCTTTCTTCTTTTTCCTCTCCTCAATTCCGCTCCGTATCAAGAAAAAACCGCCGCTATCCTACCTCTGCAACAACCAAAGCCAATATCACACGATTATGTACAAAAATAAAGAAAGGAAAACATGCGAAGAGCACGCAATGCGGAATTATAATCGGAATGTTGTCTATTTAAATCATAAAATTCGGGAAAGAAAAAAACACGCAGACACACAGTGAAAATAATCGAGAAAAAAAAAACACGCAGACACACAGTAGAACAAAAAGACGTTGTTTCGTGGAGAGAGAAAGCTTACAAGAAAGAAGAGAAAGGAAGGAAGGGGGGAATAGCTGAAGCCTTCGCCTGCAAAACAACAACAACATTGACAAAGAGGAACGATCATTCGTAGAATTTCCACAGAGAGAGAGAGAGAGAGAAATTGTGCGAAGAATGGAGGAGAAGAGGAGAAAATGGCGAATTTCTGGTGAGAAGAAATTAATTAGTAGTGATGACGTAATTTTATTTATTTTTTACCGAATTGCGGAGGCCGAGCTGCGGAGGAGGAGGGTGGTGGGGCGTAGATGTAGAGAAAGGGGGAAGGAAAGATTTTAAACGGAGGCAAAGAGAGTTTTGGGAGAAAGCGGGAAGTTGTGGGGCCAAATGTGAGGCGGTTGGAATCAGAGTACACGTGGTTGGATATGAGAGGTTATTGGGAGAAAGGGAAGAAATTCACTTGAATTGGTCTTCTGGTCTTCTCTTTGTCTTTTCCTCTTCCCGCCTTTTTTTCCTCCTCTTTTTCATTTTTTTATCTCGATAGTATTTTCAGCAGTAAATATCCTTTTACTATGTTTTATCCTTTTTTTTGGGGTATGTAAATCTTTGAGAACGAATATGTGGCACATCATTGAATAATTTAGTCAAAAAATTAAGGGTTCACCATTTTAATTTAAGTTAATTAACTATTTCTTCCGTCCCACAAAAATAATCCAGTTTAATAAAAAATCTTGTCTCAAAAAAATAGTCCAATTTCAAAAAAGTCAAAATAAATTTTGAACTAAAATACAAAATTATCCTTGCGACAGAACTTATTTACTGGCCACCCCAACACAAAATAAGCAGGCGCTACAAACACAAAATTAATTTTCAATTTCTCCGACAACCTAAGCCGCCGAGAAGAACTCCGTTCTCGACCTCCTAGATGATGTTGCCAGCGAAATTCCTTTGCCACCTTGTCTTGAAAGGCGGTGATAATTCTTCTTCCTCTAACACGACTTCTCAATTATGATATTTCCTAATCTAATAAATTGATTTTTATTTTTTCCGACGACGTGTTATTCCGATTATGCTACTCCCTATCCGCTCTCCAATATGCTAGCCAAACCACTGTCTTCATCACAAAAACTATCTCCAGAGATCTCAAGTTTGACTAGATTGTCCAAATTTGATCACCATCAATTATTTTTTGAGATCAGAATAACCATTATTGGTTGTTTTATTGTTAGTTTTGGTGTTATGGAATGGATCTGAGGATACCATTTTTTGGGGGTATGTGTCTCTGAATAGATTTGGATGTAGGGATTAGATTCAAGATAGTTTGGAATTTTTTTTCTACTTTCTGAATTTGGAATTTTTAGCATTGCAAAGCACTGAAGTTTTCTGAGGATATTTGGTTGCGACAACTCCACTTCTCTGATGTAGTGGTTGGGCGTCGCTGGTGGTGATCGACGATCAACGATATTGTTGTTACAGTTAGCGTCGATGAACCAGGGGCATAATTGGAAACATAAGGATAAAAATGAGTTGTACCTTTAGAGAGTTGACTGAAATAAAAAAATTATATATTTTAAACTGAACTATTTTTATGGGACGGAGGGAGTATGATATTTCAACCTTAAGATCGATAACATACATTAATTGGATTAAGAGATCTGAAAAAGCATAACTAATTTGGCAAAAAAGTGACATTTAACAAACTAATTTTTGGCACAAGATGAGAAAATAACATACCTCATGAGATACCAATTTTATCGAAAAAATAATTATTACAATGTATTTTATAGTCGCAAATAAGATTTTACTATGGTGATAAGACTCCTATATAGATTTTATAGAGGTTTATTCGTGTTTAATTAAAATTAATTTAAATTTGTGTCTTATAATTAGAACCGAAAATAATAAAATAAACTATTCATTATTTCCAAAAATAATGATGTTTCAATTTAAAAATAAATTTGTTAATGATCAACTTCGTCTTCACTCAGAAATATGTCAGTTACTCCCATTTGAATCAAAGAAATTGCATTTGGTTTTCAAAAAGGAGAAGTCATTGTTGTGTCTTCATCTCAAAACAAAACAAGTCATTGTTGTTTTGGGCAACAAGGTAAATCGATGAGAAAATATTATATGCAAGTGATGTACCTAATATCTTTTCTAAATCGAGCTGCTAGAAATTCAATCTTTACAGGATGTTTTCGAGTGATTTTGAGAAAATTACAACTTCGATTTAATTTTGAATATGCATAGAAATCTAAAATTTTTTCGTAGATATCATACCAGTAGGTATAAAAAAAATATATCCTTTTGCTGCCAAGATGAACTTACCGCAGGTAATTGAAATTCACTTTTTTTTTCTGAATGATTCAATAATAAGTTGACGAACACTTGGAAATTATCATTTCTTTGCGCCCTTATTTCTATTTTTTTAATCCCAAAATAATTATTCAAATTAGGTTTTCATTTTTTAACACAAATTCTTTTTGTGCATTCATTTTCAAAACTCTTTTTTTTTGTCCCAAAATGATATATATAAGGCTTTAACAATTCTCTATTCTTAGGGTACGCTTCAGAAAATGATCCTCATAAGTTAACAACAATATCTTGCCGGAGGGAAGCGTTGTGTTCTTTGTTACTTTTTCAACAAACATCACACAGGTATAATATAACCATCGAAATCCCAATGAAATGCCTCCTTACTGAAGTAGCAGATGGCATTGAATTGAACACTGCACTGCACTTCAGGAGTTGTCAAGTTACATAATAAGGTCAATCTCTTCGGTACTTACTACTGAGGTCAGAGACTCCAAGGGAATTCCCTTCGTCTGCAACCAGTACCTAGAACAAACAAGTAATACAGAATCCCAATGAAATCGAAGCTATCCTAAAGAGATCAACTCGAAATGACACACAGCCTATGGAAATTATAATACAACTGTTGAACATCCTACACATTGCCACTGGATTGTTACTCCTTACAACACCACATATCCTGTGGTGTTGCTATGTCATAAAACTCTACATAATCTACATCATGGACTTCACACAGTCAACTCTCGAAATCCCCGGGAAGCGGAACAAGCCGCACCCCCTCCCTTCCCCCGACAACGTGTGAGATGATTTTCAATCATTTTACCTAGATTCAATACCAAAAGAATCAGACCCTCTAACAAATGATCTGCGCCACCAAACCTGGAATGCTTTACTAAGGTTGGGACACTCGCTGCCTTGCTTTGAGAAGAAAGAGAACCAATCCATGAACAATTGGTACTGCTCCTTCAGTGGAAGTGTAAGCAGTGCCTGACCCATAGCTTCCTCCAGAACCTTCATGTCCAGCCCTTTTTTACATCTCTGCAACCAACCAAAGTCCAGTAGCATAGGCCTAAACCAGGCCTGAACAAAGGTCAACCTCGTCTCTGAGCAACAATGCACTTTCCGGTTACCCATAGCAATAAATAACATTGCTGAAACCCGACTAAGCTCGTACCTAATCATCGGGGAAACACAATTGTGCATGCTGAGTAGCTCTTTTTGATCGGCCCACATATCCACCATCCCCTCAGCCATTTGGTGATCAATCAGGATTTCAAGCAGCCAATTAATGTTTTCAACATGCTTTGAAATCCGCTCAATGAGGGGCTTAGTTTTCTCAATTTTTACTAGCTTCTCATTAGGACTAGTTCCAGTTGCAGACGCCTCTTCAAATAGGTTAAGCAAGGAGTCCAAAGAAGATTGGCAAACAGCCAAAACATCTCCCCTGTTAACATCATAGTCTTTCTCATACACTGAGCTTTTGGACAAAAGACCCTTGACTAAAGACTTCAGCTCATTTCCGGCATTTGTGTCCACACATGTTGTAATGGACCAAAGAAGCTGTTTGACTAAAGTTTGTGGAGAATTTTCGGATTCAAGTCCATAGAGCCTGGCCATAATGTCTTTACTAGTTGCATCATCAAACTTAAACTTTGTGAAAAGGATCCTCAATTTCTCTTCTTCTTCCTCAGACCATGGCACTGCTTCAAGGAACTTTAGACATGATAAAACACCTCTGCTGAACTTGATACTAGCAGCCACCTACATGAAACAGTAAGAGGTCACGACGCTTGACAAGTATTTCACCCTAAAATGGGACAGAAAATCTCGGGCTATTCCCTAAAGAGAGAAAAAGAAGCCAATCCGAATGGGAGTTTAGTTCTCTTCTTCCTAACGATACAAGTGTTGACTACACTAATCTTAACAAACTCCTATATAGGAACATGCAAGGACTTTACAGCACATTCTCCTCAAAGTTTCAGCTCATTTTCTCTATTTAACATAGTGAATGAAAAAAAAAAAAATCAAAGGTAAATACTGACAAGCACAGAACTCCAATTAAGCTAGATCTGATTCTCAGAGAAAAATCTGCAATTGTCAAATACATAACCCACGAAACCTACAGAAGACTATTTTTAACCCCCAAAAAAGAAATTAACATAATAAATAAATATATATATACGTATATATATATATATATGTATATGTATACATGTATATACTTCCATCCCAATCTTTGAGAACCAGCATCACAAAACTAAAATAAATGCATATGAATTTGATCAAGCTCAGAACAATTAATTCATTCCAACATCAGAGGCCTTAGAGAAATATAAATCCACTAAAGAAAGAAAGGGAAGAAGAGAGGAAAGCAACCATACCTACAGAAATACATTCAACAAGTAAGAATATACACATAAGTTAGCTCAAAATAATTTATAAGGCTCGGCAAATGTCCACTTATCAGTGCTAGTTTTGTGAACATCAAAATTTATTAAGATACCTTTTAAAGCATTTGCCTTTTTTTTATACATGCCATTGAGGTCACCAAAATCAAATTGCTCAATCTCAACAATTAAAAATGACTAGAGCGACGATGCCCATTACCCACTGCCCAAGCAAATCAAGGTTCAAAGTATTCCCTGGAAAATTTTAAAGTTCACCAGTGACATGATGTGCTCACTGTTGCCCGCGACTGATCAACACTAATTTGGCCAAATCTATTTGATCAAACACAAGCTTATAAATTCACGATATATTTCTACATAATTGCTTTTTCTTTAAGGAAGGGATAAGGAAGTCTCTAAAGCTCTAATTACCTTAATCCTTTCTTATCATACTTATAAGGAATAAAAACTATATCCAAGTCCATACAAGATAAAATGACCACCAAAAGAGTTACATATAGCACAACTGATGCCTTAGAAAAGTTCCCCGCAAATTAGGAACTGCCACAAGTGTTTAAAACTACATTCTACTTGCAATTTAGTTACTTATTACAAAAACTCAACACATAAGATCATCCAGCAAATTCAGAAAAAAAAAATAAAACAACTCTACCATCAATTCACAAAAAATTAGAGAAAAATCCAAGAAGTTACTCGAAAAGGTGAAAAAAAGGGTACAACTAAAAACCAAGAATATAAACCATGCGCACTTAGTAGTCTTTATACCTCAAGGATATCAATGGTGCGACGAACCCCAAGGTTAAGAAGTTTTTCAGGGATTTTTTCCTCGAACATGAGCTCGACTGTCTCTCGGAATGTATTCAAATTCTCAACTTCCGGCACCTCAATTCGACAAAAACCCGTGGAATTCCTTCTGTAGTCCGCAATCAGACGGGCAAACACCGCGCTATTTGAAGACAGAACCGCCGAACTCAGCTCCAAAATCAGAGATCCCCCACCATTTCTGGCTTTCAAACTCAACCTCACGTCAAAATTCCCAAGACTGCCCTCGTCCGCGGCACTACTCGCCCGAGCATCAGCATCGAGATACTCACGCAAGGGCGATCTCGGAATCTCAGTGGAAGATGGTTTCGGCACACTTTTCGCAGCAACTGGAGCGGGTTCGTCAATAGGTGAGACCCGACCCGGCGAGAGGATCCGTCGTAATCCGAGCTTGGATGAGGAAGTGGTGGAAGCTTGAGACTGAGGGGAGTTAGGGAAGGAACTTTGAGAAGATTTTTGTTGGGGCAATTCGTTCTTTTTTGGAGTGGCCGGGTAATGGTGAAGATTCTTGGAGTAAGTAGAAAAAGAATGACGGGATTTACCGCTGTCGTGGTAACTTTCAGGGCTGTGAGGTGGTACAGCGAAAGAACAGCACCACGAACGGCGACGGTGGGAAAAAGGAGATTCCCGGCGGTGACGGGATGTGGAGCTGCCGTCGTGCATCGTCGCCGGCGAAAAGTGAGAATCACAATGACGATGAATCTGATGAAGTGACGAGTTGCCTTTTTTTAATGTGGGGAATTCTGCTTGTGTTAGAGGGTAAAGGCGTCATTTACTTTTTGGGCATTTTGTACATACTTGGAGCGGATGAAGAATACGAGGGAGAATTATGTACCAAGGAAAGGTGATTCAGCTGTGTTCGTTAGTTATCCATTGGCCTAAGAAAATATTTTTATCTTTTTGCACTATTTTAACTTTAGAATTATGATGATTAATAATATCTCTATATACTTTTATCTATCGCTTTAGGAGCCTATAATCATGGTCTCCAAGTCGATGTGGGATTTAAGATTCCAGAAGGTACAACTTGGATTGAATTGATTGGGAATCTGTTAATCTTTTAATTTTGTACAACTATTAATGAAACAATGATTGAAACTTTAATTTTATGTGTATTGTCTTTCTTGTTCCTAATCAAAAGTATAGAAACTTAATGTTAAATAACCAGTTGTTATTAATATATTATGTTGTAAAATAGAGAGAGATAAAAGGTGAAATTGTAAAAACTGTATATAATGATGTATTAGAAATGCAATGGACGGATAAAAAATAAATTTGAATTCACCATAGAGGGACAAATAAAAGTAAACTGAAGTAGTATCTCTACAAGGATATTAGTTCATAATTTTTAAGGGAGAGAATAATTGTACGTGTGTAAGAAGATAGTTATTAAGTTTTGATTCTGCAATATACAAAACCAATTATCAATCAATATATCCCTTTTATCCCTTTTACCCTATTAAAGCAGAAGACATGAAGCTTATGTGGCAACTATGTATGCATCTGTTTTGGCTCCAATGCACCATAGTTCAGATTTCAAGAGTATTTTTGCCACATGTAAGTCTCTTTTAATTACAAGCTATATAATTTTTTTTTCTAAAAAAACACATGTTTTACTACAAATAAGGATTAGTTACATTTCAAACTAATGGATATATTAATTCAAATTAAAATGTCCAATCATATAGTTTTGCAGGCTTAATATAAACAAAAAATAAAAATACCTAAATTCAACAATTAAGAATAATGCCTTATAAACTATTTATTTATTATTCCCTTATAACCTCATATTTATAGGTATATTTTTTTAAGCCCTAAACCATAGCATAAATGATATATCGCTAAATTAATTCCTCAAAAAATAGTAATCCAATTAGATTTTAATAAAATAGTAATTTAGAAGGGGCGCCCGGGCATCTGCCTGGGCCAAACATCTAGTACCCTATTAAAGCAGAATACAGGATGTTGATGTGGACACAATTTTAACTCCTAACATTTATCATTTATCAATCAAATTAAAATAGCATTAAAATTTGCCCATAAACTTATCCCCTTTATTACTCCACATTCTTTTGTATGATTTCTGTATCGTTGTACTTTTCAATATTTTTTCTCCTTTGGTAGATGATTTTTTTATTTTTATTTTTATTTTTATTTTTGGCTAAAAAGGGAAAAAAAACCAAATCTGTAACTATTTTATTTTTTCCAAATCAAGAATTTATTTATCTATTAACACAAAATTAAAGTAGAGATGCCCGGGCCAAACATCTAGTATCCTATTAAAAGAGAAGTCTCAAGAGAAGAAAATGTTGAGGTGTCGTATTGTGGTTCAAAATTTTCTCTCCAAAGCATCTTAGGTCAAAACTACGTCGTATTGTTAAAAAAAAAAAAACTTTAACCATATATATATAAAAGCAAGTTCATGTTATAAATTTATATAAAGATCACCTCATTCTAATTTCAGATAGGAAAATTTTGCTTATGTGTTCTCTAATTTAATATTTTACTTTCTGAAAGAACAAATTGACGCTGTACATCGTAAAAAAAATTAAAATTTTACAGGTAAAATTACAAAAAAAATCCAAAAAAAATAATTCTTTCACATTCAAATTGAATAATTCTAATGCCAATTTTTTTATAAAAAAAAAAAATTTGAAACTTCGCTATTGAAATGACGAGAAAATCCAAGTAAAGATTCTTATATTCAAACTCAATCATTATAATATTAATCTTATTAAAAAAATGTTGAAATCTAACGAGTAAAATTACAAAATAAAATTCAAGTAAAATATTTTTCTTATATTTAAGCTCAAAAAATTTAAACTATAATAATAATATTAATACCACTTAGTTTTCACATATCTTTTTTTACTTCATTTTTTTACTGGTCACTTATTCTTTGTATCATTCGTTTTTCTTTAGATTTTATTTCATAATCAACCATTAATCGAGTACGTAGTTTTTTCTTCATACCTAATAATTATTTTAATAATACATTTTAATATATTCCATGCAACCCACCGTGGAGAGAACCTAGTCATATATTTTAGACTTGTTGCTTTACTACATCACTTATGAACAACAGTATGAATCTCAACACAATCTCATTTCAACTATTAAAAGTATGTCATCATTGAAAATTTCAGGTACAAAATAAAATTTTCTTTGGCTTAACCTTAAAAAACAAAAAAAGCCCTTTAGACATTATTATACAGACCCCAAGAATGGAACCAGGCTGACATTATTCTAGTTCCAAAACCTATCCCAGCTTCTCTATCAAAGTTCAAATAGATTAATCTTTACAGTGCGTTAGATTGAAGAAAGTACTGAGTGTAATCAAATGGAGAAAGCATATAGGAATAGGTTTTTTTTTTTAGTTACATAAGAGAGAACATTCTTCTCATTCATGGGATAAGCAAATTCATCACGAAGTGAAAATGAGAAATGTGACTTCAGTTGTTGTCAAGTACACGGTACAGTGACTTATTTTGGAGTTGTGACGTGAATTGTACAGTGATTTAGATGCACTTATGAATCTAAGTAAGTGTAGAGAGTAATCTTTTATGAGGTTAAAGTTGTCATTTTGATGATAAGAAATTTTGTTTATGCTAGTATAGATAAAGAAAACACTTTAACAATTCATTCTAATGTTTGTTCATTCCTTGACAGTTCAATCAAGTCCAGAGAAGACGTTCATGGAATCAATATTTGTTATTGTAAATTTTGTCATCAAAAAGAAGAAAAGCTTTGTTGTGAGATGGAAGAAACCAGTGCCAAGTACATTTGTCCTTAATACGGATGGATCAGCAATATCCACAAGCAGAGACCTAATGCTCTTAGATCACTAAGAGTTCCCATATGTGAGGATAAGATAATATAGAGCTAATGATCGATACCAGCGTCCTTGTTGAGTAATTGAACATTAAGGTGGTGGAATTACGAGGAGGAGTAGAATGCCATAACTTTTCATCAACGTTCTTGGTGAACTATTTAACAGTAAGGTGGCGGTCAAAAGGCTAATATCCACAAATTAGGACTATTCTATGTAACAGATCCTTCATGTATTTATCGTATATGCTTCCCTGTAATTGGTAAGTCTTAAGCATTCCCCAAACCTTTTTTAAAAAAAAAAAATAATAATAATAATGCAATAAAAAGGGTGAGATTCAATTGGTAATAATGCTTCTCGTCGTTCCACCTCTTTGATCTTTAAAAATATTTGATCGGAATTCAAAACCTCGCCAAGAATTGGATCCTTCTCTAATGGTATCCTTTGTTGGAGAATAATCCAGTGCTTGGTGAGATTTTGAATTTAGATAAAGTATTTTTAAATACAAAAATTCCAAAGGCATCTTTTGCTAAAAAGGTAATTTGATGACCAAGGAGAAGTGGGGTGATTCTATTAAACTGAAAAAATTAGTTTAAGTTTCCAACAACCTTTAAGGATTTCATTTTCAGAATTAATGAAGGCTAATATCTGGATGGCCTCACTCCCTGGTACCATTTTGCACATTTGCATCTCTATATCTCTTCCTTTGTTAATTAGAAATGTACCAATATCGTTTATTGACATTATTTTGTTTGGTTTTGTTAATAACGTGTAACAATCAAGTATATTCAGGGATTGGTTCAAACATATCCTTTGTTGACTTATCTCCAGGAGGTAGTTTTATACATTTGATTTTTCTTTTTTTTTTCTTTTGTATCTTTTTATGTTGGAATGGCAGGTGAATGTGGTCATTAGAACTGGTGGCAGCAGGGATAACATTGTTCCCGTAATTTCATGTATAGCACGTTAAATTTTGGATGAAGTTCATAACATGATTGAAATATATGATTAGCAGTATAAAGCTTGTCTCATCATTCATAAACTACCTTCTCTGTTATCCTCATTTTAGATAAAGGATTCTTGGCTCAAATCTGATTTCTGCATTAGAAAAACAGTGGAAATTTTTGGTTGGATTGCTATATACATTGTTCCATCATTAACTCAAAGGGCGAATTTACTTTTGCTTGTCCCTTTCCCCTTTCCCATCATTTTCCAAAGCCTTAAAGAGTTTGTTTTGGATGTAGATGCCTTCACCTCTGCGATTAAGCCTCCTAAATAAACTAAAAAAGATTAATGTTTGTAGTAATTACATGTCACTTTTATTATTCGTTTTAACCTCTGAATTGCCCGTAGATAACTTCACATTTAGATATTAGCTACCTTAATTTGGATTTGGAGTTCAGGAGTTGTATTTAAACCCTTAAAGTTTGATGGTAACTCCAAGTAAGTTGAATCATCGTTTCCAAGACCAGGGAGGATTTTCAAATAGAACTTAAATGAAAATGGTTTGTACTTGATCAGAATCTAGGCTTAAGATCGTTGCGTCGGTTGTACAACCACCTTTCATTAATGTTTGTTATAGTATATATACTATGGTTAGAATTTATGCTTAAACCTGACTTATCAGTCATAAGCTACCTTTTGTTTAAAATATTAGTCATATGACTGTCCCATCATTATACATGTGGTGAAAGTGGCCACGAACCTGCTCATGTAGGGTTTGTTGGGGATGGACTGTTGACAACAGAGGTCTGTGGTGACCTATTTGTGGCTCCAACTATTAGTTCAATTTTGGCGGCATGTATACAATGAAATAAGAGTCTTATATAAAAGGCTTGATTTGTTTTTCAGGGCATCTGAGCTATTATTGGACCAGAAACATATCTGTTAATTGTGATGGTATATTTTTTCTTCGGAGTCCTTTGCATATGATGATTGAGATGCAATTTTGATTTGTTTATCTGATTAGAATCTCTGTCTTTTTACACGATCGAATTACTTGCCAGATCGACTTAATTTTGGTTGGCTGCTGAACGAGTCAAATCTGAAGGTTTCAAAATTGAGGTATGAAAATCTCTAAGGCAATTCTTTTTTCAGACCTGAGAGTGGATTCAGTGTTGAGTTTTTGAAGTTTGTTCGCTACAATTGACTTGCTTGAAGAAGGCGCAAGTGAA